GACCCAAGGTTTGGCTTGCCAGCAGGGTCTAATACAACAAAAACAAAAAAAATCCTGAAAATGTAAATAAAAAATCCTGGTATGGTAACATTTTAGAACTTTATAAAATAATAAATACTTTTTTTGAAGATCAGTTATTGAATTTAATTATTACTCTGAAGAACCTACCAAAATAGACCAATAAAGATAAATTCCAATAAATTTTTCTGAATGTTCCCAGTGTGAAATTGTTATCTATGTCTTTTTAAATTAGATTTTGAAAGAATTGCATGGCGTCTTGGGTGACATTTAAAGTCAATGATACCCACAATTACATAAGAATATTATTATTATAATTAGAACTAATTACATTACAGTGAAAATAACACTGACATTATCATTACCCTGTCTAATCATAACAAGAAAACCTCGAAAATCAGGATACACATACATAAACAATTCAGATTAGGTACATAAAATGATTAAAATTGTATGATTAAAATTATGCATGCATAAAGTTAATGTGCAGAAAAGGGTTATGTTATAGATGTTTTAATTGATTTTAAAAAGTCACTTAAGTAAATATATTTCATGCTTTTTTTTCTTATAGCCCCGACACTATAGATTATCTATGTAATTTTTTCCTTCATGGCGGAAAATAATCCGTCAATAATAGCAATCAAAATAAGTATTACAGTAGACTTTCAACCAGGGGTGGATGGGGAAGTGGAAACCAGCCTGGGAAAAACAAGCAACCGGCCCAAATTCACAAAAACAAAATAAAATGACCATAACGAAGAAACATATTTTATTTATTAATATATGTATAAGTAAGGGTGTTTTTCGCTCGTGCAAAAAAGCTCTTTTGCCTCCAGTTTTTTTTTAATTAAATTGACTTGATCAAAATTTTCATAAAGATCAATATTGGGTCGGACATCTGAATTTTTACTACAAAATGGCTCAGTTTTACAGGGTTCTGCTGCTTTATTTCCGTTATCGATAACAGAAATTTGATCTTCAATAGGGCATATCATAGCCTATTGAATAGGCTACGATTTTGAGAAACGTGTATACGTGTTTTTAATTGAATTATGGAGGCGTTGATGGAGGCTAAAAACACAGAATATCTAGCTACGCATGGTACAAAGCTAGCTACGTTAGCACAGAATATCTAGCTACGCTATGCTGCGTAGCTAGATTCTGTGCTAAGGAACTGAATGAACCGCGGTCGCCATTAAAACTGCTGCATTTTTTAGGTTATTATATAGTTCTTATCACGAAACTTTTCCTCTTACTTTTCTACATTTGGCATCTTGTATGATAATGCCATGACTCAAACGAAAAAATACCTAGACAATACCTAGGCAGTGGATATAAATGTGTTCTGATGTAATGCTATGTTACAGTCCATAATAAGAATATGTGGATTTTCGAGACATATTAATAGTTTATTATCTAATCTAGTTTAAACCTTATTTAACTCTTCTCTGCTGTCTCAGTAATTTTTAGTACATTCATTTTAGAACATTTTAAACAACAATTTAGACTTGGCTTTTAGTTCTCAGACTTGGCTTTTAGTCCATCCCCAATCCCAAATTCAAACCAAGCATAGAGATTTTGCAAAAAAGATGTTTAAAATCGAGCATTTTCTTTTAAATTTTCCTGTATATTTTAGAAAACTTTTTAGAACTTCCTGTTCACCGCAAATTTTCCCCACGGTATAGTTTCTTAATCTCTGATATTACGGCACTAAAAGAGATGCAAATACCGAAAAATTGAGGTGGCTCAATTTTTTTTAAAATAAACCTATTTTTTTAATTTCCTAACTTTAATAACTCGATTGGACTTATTTGAAACTCGGTAAAGAGAATATATTATGTTTGTTTTATTGAGATTTACCAGCTCTGAATTTCTTGTTCTGTATTTCCATCCCTTTTATTGCCGTAACCAGTGCCGTAACCATAGAGTAAAGCCGCAACTATGGTAAGATCAGAGATTAAGAAATTATACCGTGGCAAAATTTGCGGTGTACAGGCAGTTCTAAAAAGTTTTCGAATGAAAAAAACCTCATAGACGTGTTCCTGGGGTCGAAATATATCACCCCTGTAAGTATTTGCACTTATTTAAGACTCACCCTGTATATCCCAGCAGTTTTCTCGCAATTTCTATTCCTTAGAATTATTAAATTTCTATTTCCGTAGAATTCTTGATGTGTCCAGAAAGTTCCTCATAACATCCGGGATTTTCCACCACTGTCTAAGAGATGGCGCTCCAAAAAGCTTCAGCGATTGTTCACTCCTCCGAAAGATGTCGCCATACACCTTGACAATATGATAAGCGAATAGGAATAAAGAATAATAGGTACGCAGAGTTCCATGTAAAATGATCGTCTGTAAAAATCGACTGGCTATATCTAATGAATAAGCTGTGAATAGAATTTGCTAGAAAGTTCCATTGGTTCCATTGGAACTCCAATTGCTTACTAAAATTATTTTGAACCACGTAGTATATTCTAATTATCAATTTCGGTTTCTCTCTTAAACATGCAAAAAAGAGAATATTAAATTATCACTTTTTAATTCTATGTACACGGATATACAATATGCCCCATTATATTAATTATTCAACAAACAACTCATTAAAAGTTGTTTAGCATCCACACCATTTTATAGAATATACCTACGCGTAGAGAAACAAATTAGATATGTACATATATTGATTCAACATTATTCTCTTTATACTTTTTGTTGACTTCTTGTTAAACGAACAGTTGAAAACTGAATATATCACCTAATTTAATTGCAACAAAACCTGTTTATAAATATATAGAATGAAAGAACTTCTTTTGCACTATTAGATATAGCATATGGTATCAGTGTGGTCATTTTACTAACTCGATATATATAACCCTTATAACTAACACTCATTTTTCTTGAATTTTAAGGTAAACTTCAATTTTATAACTTGCTTTCGATGATTGTCCCATTAACTGTATTATTTTTTATTATTTGATTTATTATTTTTCAAACTTATTACACTATTCTATACTAACCACAGCCTATTCATTAGACAGCTAATAATCAGACATTCAATTGACAACCATTTATATTTATGGAACTTTGCATAACACGTCCGAATTTAATAAGCTTCATTAAGGCCCGTATTTATAGTCGAGTCTCGAATCGGGATTTCTACTGAGAGAGTCTTGGGCTCTTGAGACTGACACTGTCATTTTGGGGACTGTCATTTTGGAGAGTTTCTCAAGCCCCGTTCTCAGAACATCGACTGTCGCCAACAACACGTCAAATGAACCAATCAGGGGTGCAACTTTGTTCATGTTTCAAAGCGATAGCAAAGTAATTTGTAGCTTGATGCACTATGTTCAGTAGCAACATCGATTCGTAGCGATATTCTGATTTCTCGCTTTGTGGCATGGCGACAGTCTAGACACGTGTGCAAGAGTGTGATAGTGATACCATATTTCGCAGCATTTGAGCGACAATAGTTTTGCAATGAACATAGTATCGATCTGGTTTTGACATCGCTTCTAAACGATCGGTTGCTAACTTGAACAAAGTTGCACCCCAGATTTGTACAAAATTTGTACAAAACAGCTGTCAATTTTAAATTCTCATTGGTTCTTTTGACGTGTCGCTCGACAATACGAAGTTCTGAGAACGGAGCTTAAGAAACTTTCCAAAATGACAGTCTGAATCTCAAGAGCCCAAGACTCTCTCGGTCGAAATCCCGATTCGAGATTCGACTATAAATACGAGCCTATAGCTCACTCTATAAAAGCTATTGAGACTGCTCTCTGAATTAGACCCTGTAGAATTAGGAAAAATATTTCTAATTCTACAGGGTGTCCCCAAAAAAAGTTACACATCAAAGTTGTGTTTTTTGTAATAGAACACCCTATATAGTAATTGATTTTCGGATCCTAGGAGAAAAATAAAGGTGAGTTTTATTAGAGAAGCACATTATGACTAAAATGTAAGGTTTTTGACATATTTGGCATTTTCTAAAAGTAAATAACAATTTTTAAATTTAAATAAAAGCTATCTGAATTGGAATTTACCCGATATATCAAAAGGTATATCACACCTAGATTTTGTAACCAATGTTCAATGTTAATTTTGTCTCACCCTGTATAACTTTTTAGATCAATTTTTAATTTGTTTTAACATAAAATGGTTATTGTAATTAAATATCAGGCTATAAAGGGTAAATTACAATTGAGGTAGCTAAAATTTAAAATTTATTCTTCTTTTTCACAAAATGTGAAATATGTCAATATTCTTAGCCTTATATTAGCCTACATATTAGGCATTCTTTAATAAAACTCACCTTACTCGCCTTTATTTTTTACCTAAAATTTGAAAATCAATTAATATATAGGATGTTCCATTACAAAAAAAAACAACTTTGATGCTTAACTTTTTTGGGGACACTCTATAGAATTCTATATATTTTTATAAATAACGGTAGTTTCGAGATAAACTACCGTTCTCTTTAGAGCCTCCGCGTCGTATGAGAGGCGCCACTCTGTATAATATTCACAATACTACATGTTAAAAATACAATATTTGATATAAAATATGTGCTTTTTCATGACGTCAATGTGAATATTCGTTTATTTTCTAATTAAAATAACAGTTTGAATGTATTATTACTCACCTAATTATATACAGAGTACAGAATACTGCTTCAAAACACGCAAAATGTAATTTTACTCGAAACAGTTAAACTAAAATATAATTTTTATTTTTTCAGACATTAGAACATCTCACGAGTTTTACGATGTGTGCAACCATGTTACAAAATACCAGTCGTGTCGATTTCAATTTAATAAAAAAGTTTTACATTGCAGGCAAGTATTTTGCCTTCGTTCCCATTAGCCCCAACGGAAATTCAGGCAAACCGTTCTTAGCCAAAGCGTATCCCTCATTTTTATTTCTGTTCTATCTTGGCGCAACTGTATTTTCTTTTTACGAAAGATTTTTTATATATGAACACTTCAATCTATCTCAATCCATATTAGATGCTATGCAAGGTCTGGTCGAATTTTTGTTTATAGAATCCGTCGTACTAACGAGCGTTATAAAACGAAAGAGGATCAGAAAGTTTGTGAGAACGTTAATACAACTTGAAGAGCAAATGAATTTGCCTGAAAACTTAGTGCGTGACTTAAATATAAATGTAGTAAGAGTAAAGGTATTTCTTTCTCATTTTATATATGGCTCTATACACACATACGATAATATCGTCAATTGGAAAATGATTTCTTATTCTCTAGCTTTTGTTATTTTTCGATTTACCTCCTATTATTGCTGTTCAGTACACTTTTTATATCCGTCGTGTGTGTGTGGATGAAAAATAGATACCTCTATTTAGAGAAGATTCTAGAAGATTGCACAAATCAAGCAAGAGTACAACTTATCGTTTTTAATAAAAAGCCAACGCATGTTCCTAATAAACTGCAAATCTTCTCGCACAATTTCAAAATGATGTACTTGCTTGTGGATGATTTTAACGCCATATTTGGGAACCAGATCTTCTTTATAACGATATGTACCGCTCTGGAAATACTAAATGGAGTTAATTATGGAATGCCAACATTACATAATATTGATGTAAATGACGATACCATTACTATTAATGTTGTTTATCCAATTTTATATATCGTAAGTAATTTATAAATAGTATTAGTTAATGCTTTTAAATATTGGGAACTACACGGTACGAAAAACGGCCACCTTAAAATTTTGATGTAATTTTAAAGTTTTATATACAGGGTGGTCCGAACTGTATTCCGGAAACTTCGGCGGTATATTCTGCAAATAAAAATAAGTAAAAAAGTTCGTATAAATGTACGTCCTAAATTGCTTAGTTTCGGATATACAGGAGGAAGAAGTTTCATTTTTATTTCGTTCTTTTTCCAAATAATTTATGAATTAAGGTCAATATTTAGATGAAAATTGGTGTCCGAGAGTTTTTCGACATGAGAAATTCGATTTTGATGTCAATATTACTCCTATTTGTAGGGAATGCCACCTACATGTGCTTTAACTGTTTTGAAGAGTAATAACTTTTCGTCCGTACCTGTATAAAACTACTGAGTGAAAAAATATATTACATTTCTATACTTTTTTACGTAAAAAATGTCTCTTGGTAAAAATCGCTAGGAGCAACCGTTCTCAAGATATTTAGAATGGAAATAGTCAATACATGTCATTATTGGCAAAAAATAAACATGTTGAGTAGTTAGTTATTCAACTGAAATGATAATTAAATTTGGTAACTTTTTATTTTTTTTAATTAATCATAAGTTTTTCTTCGAAAAAATGATGGTAAAGCAGTTTCTGTTAAACTTTTGACACAAAATCATGTCAAATTTATGAGATCAATCTAATATATAACTATTTAGTCAACATGTCAGTGATGACAGGTATTGATAATTTAGATTCCAAATATCTCGAGAACCATTACTCTTAGCTATTTTTACCAAGAGACCTTTTTTACGTAAGAAACGTCGCAAAAATCAAATTTGTCATGTCAAAAAACTCCCGCACACCATTTTTCATCCAAATATTAACGTTACTTCATAAATTATTTGGAAAAAATCAAAATAAAAATGAAACTTCTGCACCCTGTATCACCGAAACTAAGCATTTTAAGACATACATTTATACGAACTTTTTTACTTTTTTTATGTGAAGAATATGCTGCCGAAGTTTTCGGAATACAATTCGGACCACCCTTTGTATTGTACTAGTAGGCCGATTTTGATCATTTTTAAGCAATTTGTAGCTAAATTATTTGACTTTTTAGTGTATCTTTCTAAATTAAAAATGAAAGTTCTTATCTGCCAATTATACGAGTGAAAACAAAATGTTGATATTTTGATAAAAGTTTGAAACACCCTGTAGAATACCTTAACAAGGCAAGGAATTTAGAAATAATTTTTCATCTAGGTACATCTTTTCTTAGTGGTTTGTTTTTGGTTCATCTATACTACTTCATAGCTTTATTTTTGCTGGAGATCACATTTATTCGTAGTTTTTATTCTAAAGGAAAAAATAAAAAAATATATATAGAAAAATTATTACTAATACCTACTAATACTGAGTATTGCCCTCCCGAGCTTCAATCACACCTAAATCTGTTAGCGACATAATTTTGATCTTTACCATCTTTAATTAAACTCTAGAGTGAAACTTAACACAACGTTTATCAAATGTAAATCCTAAAACTACTGAACTTAACTAATAAGACATCCACGCGTGACGGAGTTAGGTGCAGTCTAGCTTGAGGTTGTCCAATGTTTTATAAGACGTTGCCATATTGTAGAAATTTCCATACTTGATTGTTTAAGATATTATTATTTACTAAAAGCGGCTTCTGTGTAAATTTGCGCTTTTCCAATGAGGCTCTTTATCAGAAATTCGGACTTCCAGGCACTTTATCTTATGCTACTTGGACAACACATAATCGGTGCAATACTTGACTTCATTTGCTGTCCTCCATTCGCGAACTTCGAGTTCCGGGCTTTACACCCTGGGGCTACTCGAGAATGGTTCTGAAAGGATCTGTGCGCGATAGCCTAGTGCCTCTATATGGCGTCGAACAGTTCTGGAACTTTATGACTCAATTGAATGGAGTGAGAGTATTGCGTTCTTGAACAGTTCAGAGCTGCTCAACTGCGTGAAAGGAGGACAGCAATTGTTTCACCTCTGCGTATTACCTCTACTATAAGGTCAGTAGTTATGTAAGATCTCGCCTAGTTCATACCTGAAAATGTGTCAATCAAAAGAGAATGTCAGTCCAAAAGAAATTTTGTAAATGAGACTTTACAAAAAATATTTTAACCAACTTTCCTTTTTGTATGTCCTGTAGCGCCTATTTTCATAAAATAGATACTGTGTAGTCATACAATATTCTAGTATAAACTTAATAAATAAGATAAAAGTTTACCTATTTTAGATATGCAATACAGAAGTTGTTATGGCTTGTGATGCAGTAGTCAAATCCGGTAAAAAAATATCAAAAATGTGTTTTATGCTTCACGAGCAAACTGATAACAACGAGCTAAAAGAGGCATTTTTGAAACTGGCAGTTTATACGCAAGGTACGTTGGAATTGTTGACCAAATTATCTATAATAATATTATTATGTATTTTTCTAATTTTTATTTATAAACCATAAAAAACCCGTACTGTCAAAAAGTTTTATGATCTAGTGGTCTGTGATTTTAACAGTTAAAAAATACTAATGTCATTTTTATTTTAAATTTTCCTAGAAGAATTATTTTTCTGTCATCATCACGCTTCATCATAAAACTTTTAATCATATTGTTCTTGTTGTGATATTGGTTCAGTGGATATTCTACTGTGTAATTTCATAAATACGAATTTAACAAATTTTCTGCAAAAAAATCATATAGGTACCGGGTTTTGCATCGTCGGACGGGACATAGGAAATCCCATGTAAATTTTAATGGGGTCAATTACTGGCTTCCCTAATTATTTTAGAGAATAATTCTATTTAGGTTTATCGAAGAGCACTAAAACCCACATTCAAAAGAATAACTTTAGATATTTTTGATTAGCTCGTTTACGAGTTATCGCCGATTTCTTTTTAAATATTTCTCCTTTCTTATGGCCCGGTATTTACTTATGAGCACCAGTCAAGGTAAAAGATAACTGTCAAATGAAGTTGTCATTTCAGAAATTTACCTATTTAGTGCTTTATTATTATTGAAAACTCATTCCTACATCGGAAATCTTAAAGATGTATTTATAAATACAAATTAAAGTAAAATAAAGTAATCAATTACAAGGTTAATTATAGTATTATTACAATATTCAATAACTTATTAATTTAGGTATTATTAAATTGTTAGAACTTTAGGATTTAAGATGTTCAAATATTCCTCCATCGACTGCTAGACAATACCCAGGCGATCCTAAAATTCTCTTCTTACATTCGCTAGTTGGTAAACTGAAATTCTATTGCATTCGGCAGAATTAGCATTTTTTAACTCGTCTAGATTTGGGTATTTTTTATTCTTGTATATCCTGTTTTTTTAAGTGGCCCCAGAGAAAGAAATCATTTGGCGAAATATCAGGAGACATTGCTGGCCATTTTACTGTATGATTTAGGCCAATAACGTTTCCGTTAAAATTATTGTCTAAATATTCCCGAACAGCCAGGGTACTATGTGCCGGGCAGCCATCCATTTGGTACCAAACTTCCTGATTTTCCCTAGCGGCATCATGTAAAGCAGGTAAAATATGATTTTCCAGTAGTTCCAAATAATATTCTCCATTTAAATATCGCGTAAGAAATAATGGCCCGATAATATTGTGTCCGAATATCCCTGCTCAAACATTTACTTTCTGTGGATATTGCATCCTTGTTTCGACAAACCTATTTTGGTTTTCTTTGTTCCAATATCGATAATTTTGAACATTGGGTTCATTATTTAAGGTAAACGTGCATTCGTCAGTGAAACATATGTTTTTTAAAAATTCCCTATCCGTGTTTGCTCTTTCCATCATATCAAAACAAAACGCCTGCCGCCGTATTTCGTCCCCATCTCGTAGCTCTTGGTGCTTTTCATATTTGAAGGAATAGTATTTATGTCGTTTCAAAATTCGAAACGCTGTAGTGTGGTCTATTCCTATTTCATCCTCAAGTTTCCTTGTGCTGATCTTTCCATCGTTCTCTTCTACGCATAATAAAATTTCCAAGTCGGTATTATTTCTTTGTTCCTGCCTTGCTTTCACATCTGCAGTTATTTATCAGGGTACCTTTGGTCTCAATTCTCTGGATATTCCTTGCGATTGTAAATTTTCCAGGTATCGGTCTATTCGGATACAGAGCAGCAAACATGTCCGACACCTTTTGATAACTATTTCCTCGATAATACCAGTTAATCATCAATACTTTTTCTTCAGTAGTGTAATTCATGGCTAATATTTTCGATGTAGGTATGAGTTTTTAATAATAATAATAATAATATAATAGGTAGCACTAAATAGGTAAATTTCTGAAATGACAACTTCATTTGACAGTTATCTTTTACCTTGACTGGTGCTCTAAGTAAATACAGGGCTATAAGAAAGGAGAAATATTTAAAAAGAAATCGGCGATAACTCATAAACGGGCTAATCAAAAATATCTAAAGTTATTCTTTTGAATGTGGGCTTTAGTGCTCTTCAATAAACCTAAATAGAATTATTCTCTAAAATAATTAGGGAAGCCAATAATTGACCCCATTAAAATTTACATGGGATTTCCTATGTCCCGCTCGACGATGCAACACCTGGTATATATATATAATCATATTATAAATAACAAAGCTTTAAAAATTTATTTCCAGGATTATGTCCATATTTTTCCGCTGCTGGTTTCTGGTATGTGGAACAAGAGGTATTATCAACTTTATTTTCATCTGTTATTACCTACTTAATAATTATAATACAGTTCAACATGACGTTAAAATAGACTAGTCGACTTCAGGAAAAAATTCTATGAATTATGAAAAAATATATTAACATATATTATTTTACAACGTTATTATTTAGTATTTGCTGCATCTGTAGATAAATAAACATTACTCCAAAAAAAAAATCCTCTATGGGTATTTCGCCACTGCAATGAATTTGCTTCGGACAACGGAAAGAGATAAACTTTCCGTAACGTTAAGCATTTTTTTGTTCGTTAGGCAAATTTGTTTATTTATAAATTTAACTGCTGACAAGTAGTTTCCATTGGATTAACGTAGTAGACTGTGATGGCAGTGTTTACAAAAAATAACTATTTTATTTGGTAGATTTTCTTGCAGTGGCAAAATACCCATGTAGTATTTTTTTGGAGAGATGAATCCGCCACATAGGTATAGACATTTTTTAAATAAACATTAGTATTACTGTCTGTGATTTCCAAATATACCATTTTTCTTAAATTCTTATGGTTATTTGCAATATTCCACAACTCCGCCCCCAAAAATCTCTCAACGCATATACAAATTAAGAAAAATTATTGTGTATGATGTAGTAATCACTAATTATACCATATTACCGTATAATCGAAAAAAACTCCGCCACAATGGCTGGGAAATGACGATCGTTGATATTTTCCGTATAAAATTGTCTACAGTGTTGATTTGGGTCAACGTGATCTTGATTCGGTGATTTTGAGAGAACAAAAATACAGAGTATTTTAAATGAAAAACTGCAGTACAAATCATTAAATATTTAAGTTGTATAAATATATTTAGACTCACGGAATCCATAACAATACTTTTAATATAGCCATTAAGTCAAGATTAATTAAAAGTTATTAGCTAGTTAAAAATAAAACAAAGGTGTATAAACAAATTATTAATCTATATTTACAAATATTTATGTACATTTAAAAAATTATAATTTAAACACAGACACGAATACTTACACTGACCTTACAGACTTTACAAAAACACAAGAAATACTATCCTAGGAAATTAAATTGTATAAAGTCTTATCTTTGAAATAAAAAGTCTTGCAAAATAGTTTTTACATTCCATCTTGGTAGATATCAGTTTATATACATCATACTCATAAATATATACTCACTGTACTGTAAGAATTACTATTTAATTTAATGTACCCCTACAGGTTGTGGCCCCGCAGAGACACGTAATTTTATCTTCTTCTATTGGGAACTTATAATCGTATGTTATTTCTTCATTTACTCCAATTGGCTGTTTAGAATAAATAACAATCTTCTTTTGAGACTCTATGGTGATGACTTTAGCATAACAATTCGGCTAAAAAAATAGTAGTATAAAGAATTGTTAGTATTAATGCCGATGTAAACCATTCCGCAAAAAAAAATATTTCTAAGAGTACCTACAGTCAGTGGCGGCTCGTCAGGGTAGGCGGCGCCTACCCTAACAGTTTGGCAGAATTTAAGCGATTTATTACATTACATTATTTACTATTAATGTTGCCAATACATAAAAATACTGTTAATACACGGAAGTGTGTTTTAATAATCAATATTATTTGAATATTTGTGGTCTTGTATATTAACATATTCACTACCGCTAGCGTACGCTGACCGCTGACTGTGCCGCTGCGTTAGAAAACAAAATAATTTTGACCGTTGGAGTGCCTTTATTCGGCGATTTCTACATCGCCTACTATCAGAGTTATGAAATATTAGATAACATTGTTATACATTTAGAAATAAGGTTTGCAGATAGATGCTCGTATGTCTCAATTATTTTTATTTATCTCTTGCGGATCCGAAATTTAAAGAATCCTATAAAAAATTGCAAACGCATTTAACATCTGATTTAACAAACTTGTTATATTGATACCTTTCCAACTTCCAACGCATTTAATAGTGATTTAACAAACAAAAAATGTTATTGACCAACATAAATTAATGAATAAATTGCAGGTATTAATAATAGATATGATAATTTCAAGCATAAAATAATTTAAGGAGAATAATCCTGGAAATATATTTCCAGAGGCTTTCAAATTGTTTGTTTTGTTTGTTATTACATCATTTACAAGTATTTAGGTTGAGAGACATTTTTCATGTTTGAAATGCATTAAAATTTATAGTAAAGATTCCATCAAAAATAAACGTTTATGGCCACTTGCCTTCCTTTCAATCTAAAAAGATCTTTTCACAGCTCTTCAGCAATCTGATGATTTTACTGATATAATAATAAATAACTTTTCTTCATTAAGAGACCGACTCATCAATTTAGTATATAAAACATAATTATTCTTTTTCTTAATACTACCAATTTTTAAGTTTACGTAAGTAAATAAAAATATAATAAAATTCTATGATATACTCCATAGTGACTCCATAGTAATAGATAAAAAAATAATATATAAAATAGATTAATAAAAACTATACTTGTACATTATGTCATTACGTTGAATGCTGTTATTTTTGCTTTAGTTTTGTCTTAAATATATTTGAGCTATGTTTTTAACCCAGAGATAACATATTATTATGTAAATTAGGGGGTGGGGGGCAAATAGACGCAACTATAATTTTGTCGCCTACCCAGTCACACTGGTCACGAGTTGCCACTGCCTACAGTACTTTTTGTAAGTAAATCTGTCCAAGAGGATACATGACAGTGACAGTTGTCTGTAATTTTGGATGTCGTGCGTCGAAATCTTCTCTGACTGACTGAACAGAATATATATTAAATCTGTTAACAATTTTCGAAATAGTTTCCATTTTTTGTCAAAAATGGCATTAGTAAAACTTAACATAGACATTTTTAAAATTTTCAGATTTCTCTTAAATATTTTTTCCTTCATCAATCAGAGTAGTTCCGAAAAGACACTCAAAATATACAAGTTTCACAGTATACAAGTGGATCGGTTACAAAAATAATGATATCTGAATATATATTTTATGAATATTTGATGTTAAAGCTAAATATGACGCACAAGTAATATACATAAGTGCAAATTTATAAATTAGATATCATAAAAAAATACCTATATAAATAATTTACGCAAACATTCACTGATTTAAATATTCCATAATTATATAGGAAAGTATAAATGAAAATGCACCTTGTGCAGGTCCCACTTGTCTAGGAGCTACCTAATGTAGCTCCAAGAATAAAAAGCTTGGAAACTTTGTCTAAGTGTAAATCTAAAGTATGTACGACGATGTATTTCAGGAAAATATCTTAAACTAGTTGAAGCCTGGCGCATCCGCCATGACATCAGGAAAAAAAATACTTTTTTTTTAATTAAATGAAAAACAAAAAATCCGGGGACGACAGTTTTTAGAAGAGCCAATTAGCTATCTTTTAGTAAAAAAATCAACTTTCTAGAGCAAGTCGTTACTTCAGTAGACAAGACACAGATCAACATTAGCATTTTATATATGTAGATTCTATAGGGTGGCTAGAAAAAAGTGTGAAGTAGAAGTTGTTGGGAAGATTATTTTAAAAGAACACCCTGTATGTTATTGCATTTTCTGCTTCCTTTCAGATCACTTTACATAATCCTAAGATATGAGTAAATATATTTCGATAGTTTCAGAGATATTAACAAATAAATAAAAATATTTATTTTTCAACCTTCCTCAAAAAAATTATTACAAATACAAGAACTGTATATTTACTTTGCTATAAATATGCTATTCTTAAATCATACAGGGTGCTGAAAATTCTACGATAAAACTTTCTAAAAGATAAACTGATTTTACGTTTTTTTTTAAATATTAAAAATTTAACATTTTTGTATTTAATTTCAAAATTTTTAATGGTTTCGCAGATACACGCAGTATTATTTCATATCGCTCTTTCAACGTTAAAATACGAGAGAAAAATCATTGGGTGGCTTTGATAAACATTTACTATGGAAAATGCCATATGAAATATAAAACCGCAAATATCTGCGAAACCGTTAAAAATTCTGAAATAGTCTAAATAGAAAAGATGTTCATTTTTTAATTCTCCATTTATTAAAAAAATAATATACATTTAAAAAAAAACGAAGAAAAATTATTTTATATTTTAGAAAGTTTGGTGTAGAACTTTGAACATCCTGTATGATTTACGATTACCATGTTCATAGCAAAGTAAGTACAGACTAACAATAGTAAATATTTTATATAGTTTTGATTTCAGAACAGTTTTTGTTATTTTTAATATTTTTTTTAAAAAGGCTGACAAATATAGTTTTTATTGATCTCTGAAACTATATTTACTCATATCTTAGGACTATGTAAAGTGATCCGAAAGGAAGCCAAAAATTCAATAATATACCGGGTGTTCGATTTAAAAAGAAATTATCTCGATCCACTCACACTTTTTTGAGGCACCCTATAGAAGTTAAAATATATTCCTGAAATACATCCTAGAACAAACTTTAGCCTTGCACTACAACAAAATTCCAAAGATTTTTATTCTAGAAGTTACAGATGCCCGACGCATTATTATCGGACCCTGTATAACAGTAGTATAAAAATGTAGTATAGAAATTTTAAAACATTTTCCGGTGCACGTAATCAACTTTGAGTGACAAGCGATGGCGACAGCGCTGCCAGATTGTGATGGATTTATGAGATGAATCTTAATTTAAAAGTGAAACCATATACAGGGTGGCGCACCTCATTCGCCTCGGTTGATTATACGAAAACGGAAAGATGTAGAAATAAAATATTTATGGGTATATGTCGGGAGGTAATGTGCACAATTTAAAATTATTTTGAAATGTACAGGGTGTTTCAGAACTAAGATCCATACCAAAGTTATATTTTTTCTTATGGAACACCCGGTACTTTACTTCATTTTTGGATTCTTGGGCCTAAAAAAGGTATTTATTATAAGGGTTAAATATCTTTAAAATCTTTGGTTTTTGAGATATTTAAAGATATTTAAATTTGCATGCTACAATAGAATAGATTATTAACACCCTGTACATTACTTTTCAGAATTAATTCTTATGCTGAGTTTAAAGGTAGAGAAAGAAAATTAACAGAAAAATATTATTCCTTCCTTAGATGTATACAGGGGTATCAAAAATTGCTGGTCTATTTTAAATATTTATTTTACATAAAAACTTCGTTATTTCAAACGCAACACTATGTATTTTTTTAAATAAGTCGAAGCAGATTTAAATGCTCTTTCAAACTATATTAGGATTTCCTATACCTACCTGGCTCAGATTTTGAATAAAAAGCGATTTTTCAATAAAATTGTAATCAAGATGGCTAGTGTTGTCATGGCAAGTTTCTAGTGACAGTTAGTAGCTATTTTCAAAATCGAAATTAGTTTATGGACTTATTTAAATTTATATCAGTTTACTTTTATTTAATTTACCTACAACTAGTTTAATAAATAATATTCATTAAATATGTGTATATTATTCTATCAAGAAAAACGAAGATGTAGTTCTTTGAATTATTTTATGGATTTTCTGTAAAATAGCCAATTACGGCAAATTCATTTTATTCACTTCCAAAGAAAGGTTTCTGCCTAATAGGTTTTTTATAAACCACACTACCAGCTCTGCGAAATAGGACAAATAGTTTTTCAACGAAACGCTTATCAGGAAGATTCCTATTTGAATATCTTTGAGCATAAGCCCTTGAGGCGAAGAAGCAATTTTCCTCACAAAATAATATCTATTCGTTCCGCCAGCAGATATACTGCTTTATTTTTCTTGATAAAATAATGAATCTTATTACTTATTAAACTATTGTAGGTAAATTTAGGTAAACTGTTATAAATTATAAATAATAATGTCCATAAACTAATGTCGACTTTGGAAATAGTTACTAACTGATGTCCCTAGAAAATTGCCATGGCGACATGGCAATGGCGACCGAATCAAACCATCTTGATTGCAATTTTATTTAAAAATCGCTTTTTATTCAAAATCTGAGCTAGATAGGTATAGGAAACCCTAATATAGTTTGAAAGAGCATTTGAATCTGCTTCGACTTATTTAAAAAAATACAGGGTGTTGCATTTGAAATAACGAAGTTTTTATATAAAATATATCCTTAAAATAGATCAGCAACTTTTGATAGCCCTGTATAAATTTAAGGAATTAATACCATTTTTCAGTAAAGTTTATTTCTCTACCTTTAAACTCAGCATAATAATTAATTCTGAAAAATAATGTACAGGTTGTTAATAGTCTATTTTATTGTAGCATGCAAATTTAAATATCTCAAAAACTAAAGATTTCAAACTTATTTAACCCTTATAATAAATGCCTTTTTTTGAGCCCAAGAATCCAAAAATTAAATAAAATACCGGGTGTTCCATAAGAAAAAATATAACTTTGGTATGGATCTTAGTTCTGAAACACCCTGTATATTTCAAAATAATTTTAAATTGTGCACATTGTCTCCCCACACATACCCATAAAATGTTTTGTTTCTACATCTTTCCGTTTTCGTATAACCAACCGAGGCGAATGAGGTGCGCCACCCTGTATATTTAATATATAATTTTTATATATATTTTTTTAAGGCAGCAGCTACCCGCTACAAATTGAAATAAGTTAAAATAACTTGAAAGTGGTATAATGTGCTTACCAATCAATCTTACTTCTCTGACTGCATTCAAGGGTAATAAAGGACCTTTATTGTCACGTTCGCGCTCAAAATATTTTATCAGGGAAGCTACAAGCGCTTTGCGACTGTTTAAAGGCTTCGTCATATTTTCAATCCACAATTTCAAAAAATGCAGTAAAAATCTTGAAAATTTAGTTCTTAAAAGAACTTTTTGTGCTTAGAAGTACAATTTAGGAAAAAAACTATGAAAAACGGCAAAAAACGATCGAGAATTACTCCCAAAAATTCAACAACACATACTATATATAATATAGATATTATACAAAATAATGACTGATACTAGGATAATTGTCAAATAATACACGACAACATTGCTGAACAGGGCGCAATGTGACCAACAAGGCAATAATAAAAATCGGTTTAAACTAATTTTTGCAGCTTTAATCTAAATAAAATATCCGTTACAATCTCTTGCTCTATGAAGTATAATGAAGAGCTGCTTGGTATTTTAATTTAGTCAACAAATTTAAACATTTTTGCTAAAATTTCATTTACTCAGGTTTATAGGCTTTAGTGTCAATTTCGATGTGATTGATGACGTGCATCGGAAAATGTTTTAAAATTTCTATATAATATAGTTTGAAAGAGCATTTGAATCTGCTTCGACTTATTTAAAAAAATACAGGGTGTTGCATTTGAAATAACGAAGTTTTTATATAAAATATATCCTTAAAATAGATCAGCAACTTTTGATAGCCCTGTATAAATTTAAGGAATTAATACCATTTTTCAGTAAAGTTTATTTCTCTACCTTTAAACTCAGCATAATAATTAATTCTGAAAAATAATGTACAGGTTGTTAATAGTCTATTTTATTGTAGCATGCAAATTTAAATATCTCAAAAACTAAAGATTTCAAACTTATTTAACCCTTATAATAAATGCCTTTTTTTGAGCCCAAGAATCCAAAAATTAAATAAAATACCGGGTGTTCCATAAGAAAAAATATAACTTTGGTATGGATCTTAGTTCTGAAACACCCTGTATATTTCAAAATAATTTTAAATTGTGCACATTGTCTCCCCACACATACCCATAAAATGTTTTGTTTCTACATCTTTCCGTTTTCGTATAACCAACCGAGGCGAATGAGGTGCGCCACCCTGTATATTTAATATATAATTTTTATATATATTTTTTTAAGGCAGCAGCTACCCGCTACAAATTGAAATAAGTTAAAATAACTTGAAAGTGGTATAATGTGCTTACCAATCAATCTTACTTCTCTGACTGCATTCAAGGGTAATAAAGGACCTTTATTGTCACGTTCGCGCTCAAAATATTTTATCAGGGAAGCTACAAGCGCTTTGCGACTGTTTAAAGGCTTCGTCATATTTTCAATCCACAATTTCAAAAAATGCAGTAAAAAATCTTGAAAATTTAGTTCTTAAAAGAACTTTTTGTGCTTAGAAGTACAATTTAGGAAAAAAAACTATGAAAAACGGCAAAAAACGATCGAGAATTACTCCCAAAAATTCAACAACACATACTATATATAATATAGATATTATACAAAATAATGACTGATACTAGGATAATTGTCAAATAATACACGACAACATTGCTGAACAGGACGCAATGTGACCAACAAGGCAATAATAAAAATCGGTTTAAACTAATTTTTGCAGCTTTAATCTAAATAAAATATCCGTTACAATCTCTTGCTCTATGAAGTATAATGAAGAGCTGCTTGGTATTTTAATTTAGTCAACAAATTTAAACATTTTTGCTAAAATTTCATTTACTCAGGTTTATAGGCTTTAGTGTCAATTTCGATGTGATTGATGACGTGCATCGGAAAATGTTTTAAAATTTCTATATAGAATATTATAAATATTAAAATGTATGAAACACAATACTTACATTACAACTATGATTGATAAATCTGGCTAAATTGCCACACTTCGTAGCATCAATAATGTTTTCCAAGTCAATACGGAAAAGGTACGAACTTCCGATACCAGTTGCTTCGTACTTCTGTTCTCTTAAATCCGCGACACTATGACGAACCATTTGTCCTACATACTCGATCACCTTAAATAAATCATTAACAAGAGATATGAGTAACTTTTAATTACACTCAGACTTGACAAGATTCAAACAAACACTAACCATTTCATCTGCAGCGATGGGTTCCATGGCAAAGAGACCCCAATCGTGAATGGCAGACTTAGCAAATTTGAGTTGTTTCTTACGGAACTTCAGTTGATTAAATTTCAACAAATCAGAATCGGTGGCCGATCCAAATGCTGTTAGTAGCCTTCTCTGATTTGACCTAGCTTCTCTTGATAAACCTGAGGAAGACAATTGGACATATGTTAAGTATTGGGCCATTTCCGTGAGCGTGAACGAATGATTTTTAGATATTTCTTTACGTATTATATAATCGATACCTATTAAACTTTTAGTTACGTAATCGAGGATCGATTTTTAAATTCATTGTTGCCAACCATGGATATATTACATATTCGGCGCCCGGCTGACCAACTAGAATTTAAATTACCCGTTCGGGATTCAGGTGGTAGCTCTGCTGTAAAAAATGTCAAGTTGCCATATTTATTTATTTCCTTAAGCATAATTTTTTTTTCTAGCAAACCTTGCAGTCGAACGCTGTGTTCTTTTTAGAACCTCTTTTAGTTTAAACGGGAAGGCGGTAGTAATGGCCCTTTATGTCCCTTAAGTGCTGTTAAGGAGGTGAGTTTTTTGATGTAAATAATAACTGTTTACATATTTACTAGTTGAAGCCTGGCGCATCCGCCACGACATCAGGAAAAAAGTACTTTTTATTTTTTTTTAATTAAATGAAAAACAAAAAATCCGGCGACGACAGTTTTTAGAAGAGCCAATTAGCTATATTTTAGTGAAAGAAGCAACTTTCTAGAGCAAGTCGTTACTTCAGTAGAGACGACACAGATAAACATTAGCATTTTATATATGTAGATAATTAATTTATTTTTGTTTCCTAAAATAATTTGTTTGTGGCCGGCCGTAGCGCAAGCAGTAGTGTGACGATCTGCGGTGCGAGAGATGTAATTGTACTGGGTTCGATCCTCAGCCAGTACGGTCGCTTTATTTATTTAAATAAAAATATTGATTTATCTAAATAGAGCGACCAGCGAGCCGCCACCTCAAGGAAGGCAATGGCAAACCACCTTGAGTATATTTGCCTTGTACAGCCTCTCAAATAGTGCCGTTCGAATTCGGCGATAAACTCCCGTTCGGCGATAAAATTCGGCAATAAAGTCCCGTGTACTTGTGAAACACAGATGACACACATCACAAATACATGCGAGAGGTAGCCGACGCTCTGTATGGAGTATTAGAGTATGGCACTAAGAAAGAAGAAAAGAAAATATTTTGATTAAAAGAAATAATTATGTAAAAGTGGTCAACTTTTTAATACAGGAAATGCTTTTTTAGCCGGTTGGACTGGGAGTAGGTTTTCCTAAAATATTTTAACTTAAAGAAAATAAGTGTAAAAGTGGGCAACGTTGTGCCGGTCAAGCTTAATCACGTAACTAAAAGCTTATCTGGCATGATCTATATAATATAACTAGCTTCATTTCATGGTGTTTTTAGCTATTTAATATGACCTTGTTATAGCACAGAAAAAAACATTTTCTACAAGAATTTTTCTGTGTATATTATTTCACCAAATATTAATATTAACTTAACATATTAAAAATAATGTATTTTACCTTGTTTTGCAGGAGCAGCAGCTGTCATGGTAACTGCGTGTGCTTTGGCATGGTGATATTTGTACCTAGATTTTTCGTGAGCTGTCATTTTATAATACCCTTCTGTTCTTGCGCAGCCCGTCAGATGCGTACGTTCTTCCCGTTTCCTCTTTTTAGGCGGACTTGAATATAAATCGGTTAAACAATGATCCACCCAATGGGTGTCATTTAACCAATAACCCATATTATCATCAGCCAAAAGTTCCTCGTACGACCTTTTAATATACTCAATGTCTTCTTTATCAATACCTATATCGGGGGTCAATTATTAAATAACATAATACAGAGGGAAAAAATTAACAAAGAAATATCGTACGGTAATAAAAACGGCGTCAAGTTGGTTTGGAAATGATGATCGACAGGATTTCCCAAATATTTTCACAAGAAATGACAGCGATCTTTATTCCAAGTCAACTCTGACGACGTTTTTTTTCGGTCGTATACTTTGAATAAAAAGATTAAGGAAGAAGTATAATACTATCCATGTATTCATGCATGGTCGACGGAAAGGAGACTCTAGGCTGGGAACCCTTGACAGTTCTGTTTGACGATTCACACATTTCAATTTGATTTGAATTTTTGTGGATTTGTCGGTCTTTGCTGACCTTATTTTATGTTATTTATTAGTTAATCTACTACTGAGAGTTGTTTACGGGTAGTAAATCTACAAGGAAATTGTGGCAGAACTTAAATGACACTATTGCGATTTATCGAAAAAGACTGTAAAATAGTTGGTTGTGTAGCGTGCAGTAGATCTAAGTCAAAAATCGAGGGAAATAATGGAATAACTTTTCGCTAGTAAGTGACTATAATACATAGGTGTAAAGTAAACGCCACGAATGTTTGGAAGTGATTCATCGGTCGCTACCATGTGAACTAATCTGTTCAAGGTCACATAAAACTTAATTCCAGTGCCGTGGTGTTTCAAGTCATATAATAATCAATATATAATCTGTTGTAATTTGTTTTTTTAACTGTCAAAGTCTTGTCAAAACATATATCTGGTTATAAATATAAAATGGATTGCCCCATTGATCGCACTGCAAGCACACCAATGGACTGACGCACAAAAACGAATCAATCAAAGAAACGCGATATAGTATCGTCTTTGTCAATCGCGCTAACATTTTAGGATAAGTAGAAGGAGCGCAGGCAGATGATTAGACCGGGCTTTAAAAACCTACGTCTGCGGTAAAAATTTACGTGTTTAATGTAAAAATGATAGCGCGCGTGTCGATTCTAACTTCATCAAGCGATGAATCACTCCCAAACATTCGTGGCGTTTACTCTAGTAAACCTTATAAAAATTTATGAAATTTTCACTTAAAATTAACTAATTATATATTTTTTCTTGCATTTTTGCTTTTATTTACTACTTATCAAAGATTAGATGTCAAAGAATTTAGATACGTCAATTTGATTAATCTGCTTCACTAGCGTATCGGATGTTTGTGTTAATAAATAATTATCATAACTTATCTATTTTTATTAGAATTGTATATTTTATAACAATTTTAATAACTACCAACATTTATTCAGAACGTAAAATAAAACAAATTATTGAGTCTACCCCACGTCTACCCTACATCATATTTTTACACGTTTTGAATAAAATTAGAACGGCACTGATAAACCGGAATTTAAGTCGACCATTTCGAGTCCCGTCGCGGTCGATAAAGATTTTTGATACGCTCCTTCCTTAATATTTTTATTAAAGATCGTATAGTATACAGGGTGCTACAAATTCGAGGTACGAGCATTGGTATCTCGGAAACCGTAATAGATACGAAGATGGTTAAATTGGGGCAAAGTTGCGCCTTGGGATTGGGGGTTTCCCAACATGTTATCAAAAAAGTTTTAAAAATTTCAAGGATTGCTGAGTTTTTTGGAAAAAACGGTTTTTTTTGAAAATCAATTTTATTTTTCCTGTTGTTGCTTTTTAGAAAATCAAAAAACTAATTGAACATTTTCATAGCCACTTTATCAGGGCTATCTGACAGTATTTTTAGATTTTCAAATTATCTGATAATTTGTGAGATACATAGGCCAACTTAATTTTTTTTTAATACGGGTCTGCATTTTTTATTTGATGTTTTGAAAATATTCAGCCTCCTGAGTACAACGGTATGCCACACTTTATATTTTATTTGTTTTAGATACTTTAAAAACAACAAAACTATATTATTATTTAAAATAATTTCAAGCCCAACTCTGGATTTTTAAATTATTTAATCTGATTATATTCATCGCAAAAATAAGGAAAATCGAGCCAATTGAAAGATTTGAATAAATAATATCCAGGTCAGCAATTTAAAATATATTATTTTTAATCTTTTTTTGTGAATTTGAAATCTCAATGTATGATCTAATAATATGCATAATATTAATCCTAGTTATTATAAATATATCAATTTCTACAAACAAATTTCTAATGTTCTACATGTTCGAAAGGGTTTATTTAATACCTCCGCCCCCCCCCTATTGCACACATTTATTTTTCGTTCAATTTTATGTATAGCCCTTTCAACAGATCTTCTTATACTTCCGAACGCATTTTGTACTCTTTGTTGTAAATGTTGAGGTATATTGATTTCAATTTTACAAATGATAAATGTCAAGTAATGCTCCCACCCCTTGGCGACAGGTTCAAGGACCTCACTGGCCATTATGCTACTCCACCATTCACAATCCATCTTCCGAGGAAATGATTTTATTGTTTATATTATATATTTATATTATTTATTTTAAATTATTTTTTATTATTTTATTGTATTTGATTTTCCATATTCAATGATTTATCTCACGTCACTGTTCAGTTTTAAAACTTCTCAATCTTGCAACAATGAATAGATTAAATATTTGAAAAAAACAGAGCCGGACTTCAAATTAGTTTAAATAAATTGTGTTCAAATTTCCGAAACAAAAAAAAAATAAGTGTGGCATATCGTTGTACTCAGGAAGCCGAGTTCTTTCAAAATCTGAAAAAAAATGCAGGTCCTTATTTAGAGAAATCAAGTTGGCCTCTGTATCTCACAAATTATCAGATAATTTAAAAATCTAAAAATACGATCAGATAGCCCTAATAAAGTGGCTATGAGAATGTGTAATTAGTTTTTTGATTTTCTAAAAAGTAACGACAGGAAAAAATAAAATTGATTTTCAAAAAAATCCGTTTTTTCCAAAAAACTCAGCAATCCTTGAAATTTTTAAACCTTTTTTGATATCATCTTGGTGAGCATCCCAAGGCGCAGCTTTGCCACAATTTAACCATCTTTGTATTTATTACGGTTTCCGAGATACCAATGCTCGTACCTCGAATTTGTAGCACCCTGTATATTTATTTATAATTTTATAGTATCGGTCTTCCTACATAACGTTTTCCATCAAATTTCATGAAAAATTCGAAAAGACGAGAAATCTCTTGATTTTTACTATGTTGTCAGATTTATAAAAGAAAAATATTACATCATGCTAAATCTGCCTATTTTCCAGCAATGTGAACAAAATCCGACATTAACAATTTCTACCTTTATTTGATCCTAATACTAAGTCGTGTTAAGCAACCCAACTTAAAGACCATTTGACATTGTGCATAGTCTGTCCAACGAGAAGATGACTGACAGTCAATCCAATTCAGACAAATCTATATGACTAGTATTTTCTGTCATTTTTATGTCGTCCGTCGAAATCTTACCAGACTTGTTGGACAGACATTTTAACACTTTTTTTATGAGTGGTTCACTACTCACTACTTTTCTCTTTCACTATGATGGAAAAATTTATATGAAGTAAACTAAATATTACATTGATTTCTTAAAATTTATCCTCCTACCTTTTGTCAGGAACTCAAATAATACTCCAAATTCAGACATTTCATCCCTAATTTTATGAACGACATTTTCATGAACTCCGTAATAATCCGCGTACCTCCTGTCGTACTGATCATTGTCATAATAAGTATTTTGGACTTCCTGTAATCGCTTTTGCTTCTTCGGTCTCGGTTGTTTAGGAAGTTTTTCCTAGAAAGTGCACGCATTTTCAATATAATGACAAAAACATGACAGATACTAACTTTTTTAAGTTTAGGCGCGGCCGGTACTAATGGCAAGGGGGCTTCTTTATTCGTATAACCGTGATCGTGAGCTAACGTGTCTGCACTTGAAAATTCAAGTTTACGAGCAGATTCTTCAGATATATTTTCTTTTTCTTCAGGCCTTGATAGACAATAAGAATGTTCAATCGCCACCTGTAAATTATGTTTATTTATATAATATGTATTACCAACAAAATGATGCAATGAAACACTGATGCAAAAAAAACGCTTAAAGTTTAAAGTGTTTCGAAACTTCGACAGCATATTCTGCAGATAAAAATAAGTAAAAAAGTTCTTACAAATGTATGTCCTAAAATACTTAGTTTCGAAGATACAGGGTGTAGAAGTTTCATTTATGTTTTGATTTTTACCAAATAATTTATGAAGTAACGTCAATATTTGGATGAAAATTTGTGTCTGGGAGTTTTTTGGCATGAGAAATTTGATTTTGATGTCAATATGACTCCTACTTGTAGGGGGCGCCACCTACATATCTAATTTAAACCACCTACATATTAAATTTAAAAAAATTATGATTAATATAAAAAAATAAAAATTTCCCAAATTTATTATTTCATTCAAATAACTATCTATTCAACGTGTTTATTTTTTATCAATGACATGTATTGACTATTTCCGTTCTAAATATCTTGAGAACGATTGCTCGTAGCGATTTTTACCAAGGGACATTTTTTACGTAAAAAGTCGTATATTTTTTCACTCAGTAGTTTTATACAGGTACGGATGAAAAGTTATTACCCTTTAAAACAGTTAAAACACATGTAGGTGGCGCCCCCTACAAATAGGAGACATATTGACACCAAAATCAAATTTGTCATGTCAAAAAACTACCAGACACCAATTTTCATCCAAATATTGACCTTACTTCAGAAATTATTTGGAAAAAATCGTAATAAAAATGAAATTTCTACACCCTGTATCTCCGAAACTAAGCGTTTTAGGACATACATTTATACGAACTTTTTTACTTATTTTTAACTGCAAAATATGCTGCCGAAGTTTCCGGAAAACAATTAGGACCACCGATACCATACACCATATATAAATCTATTAACTTTAATTCATAAACTTATTTCTTTATAAACTTTAGTATTTGGTTTTTATTATACAGGGTTAATTGAAGGGTTGTTTTTTCTTTTTTTCTTTCTTTAAAAAACCACTGTTTGCAATAATTTCGTGAGTAACTTTTCCTAAAACATTATTTTTCGATCAGAACCATGTGTCCTGAGCATTTTTTTTTTTTTGGCTCATATCAACACATGCCTTGGTTAATTTTTAAGACATAAAAATGTTCGTCAAATATACCTGACTGGACGGACTACTTTCTCCAGAAGTTTCTGATAGTCTTCTTTTAAAGTCGGTGGTACCATTAACATCTTTAATTTGTAACTTCTCATTTGCCTATAATATAAAAATAACCATGAAAAAACAATGAAAAACTCATTACAAACAAATTCATACCTTCTTGGATATTTTTTCGTTAATCTTATTACTATCATCATCCAAATCTGTTAGTTCAAGAGGAGGTTCGGGGTTACGAACCTGCTGTAACAGTGCATCACGTTCTGCTTCCAACTCTTCAAGAGATCTCTCTTCAATAGCACTTTTGGTTTCTACAACACAACGGCAATGAATAAACAGAACAAAATTCAGTAAAAATACTACCTTCATCTTCAGCATCAATCCTTTCTGAATCATCATCCAATCTTGTAAATGGTTCTTCTGAGATCTTTTCGTTACTGTATTTTTCTGAATCGTCGATTTCTTCTTTACCGAACTTACTAGGGAACGGTTCTCTCTCTTTCACTACGTCTTGGTTTGTGGTGTCTTCAACTATGTCTATTTTGTCTATTTTCTCAGTCATTTGTGCCGCTTTTCTTTCTTGGCGTTCCTTCTCAATTTGCTCCATCCATTCGTCATTCTTTCGCCTTCGTTCCATCAATATTCGTTCGGTATCACTTTCATCACTGTCACTATTAAATATACTATAATAGTTACTTTTTGGTTTTGTACTAAGAGGTAATATTGGCGAAAGCTTCTCGGATGTTGGGAAATCATCTTGTGTATCTGTATCAATCTAAGAATAAGAAAACCATCAGTAAATAACTAATCAACACTTTATTTAAGGTTAATATTTCCTAAGGTGGGTATACACATGCGAGCCGAGCGGTTCGCACACCGCTCGTTAGCAAATTGTTTTTGTACGAACCTTCAACGATCCAAGGGAAAAGCGCGAACGCCGCAAACCAACCATGCAGTCATTTTTGCGATGCGATGCGACGCGACGCCGCGCCGCGCCGTTGCGTGTACGCGTTTAATTATGTCTTCGCGAGAAGAGAATTATGCCCTGTTGGTGATGAGTTTTTAATGATGGCTAGTTTAGGCAAGAAAAGGAAGCAGCGACGTTGGTGGCACACTAACTAACTTTTCTATAGAGATCAATTAAATCTAAAATGATTTCCTCGGACCACCATCATATATACCGTATTGAGAAAAAACGGCATCAACGACGTCATTTTATATGGGAAATGTCATCGATCGTCATTTCCCAGTCAACTGGACGCCGTTTTTATTCGATCATACGTTATATATATATATATATATATATATATATATATATATATATATATATATATATATATATATATATATAAATATAAATAACTAAACTAAAACTTGATAATAATAAACTAACTAAAAATTGAAAACAGGGCGTCTGGATTGTCTGGAGGTTCGACACAAACAACGAACAACACACGAGTCCGTCCACCGAGAGCCACGAATCCCTTTGTGTTCGTCAAAAAAACCGACAGGATGCGGATCGCCGCGAACGGTTTGCGAGCCGTTCGTTCGTTGATCAAAACAACGTACACACTTGCGAATTATAGGTTCACAAGCGGTTCGCGAACCGCTCGGCTCGCATGTGTATACCCACCTATAGGCAGTGTCATTAAAATTGTGGTACTACTCTTAAAATTAATTTTTCACGAAATATTGAGTTTTATTGTTCCCCAACCAAATACATATTATTGTTATCTCTTTTACATACTAACATATGAATATACTTGCTACTTGTACATATTTTTATACCGTTTCTTTTCTCTCCTGTAAAATTAGGAATAATGGACTTAACAGTTTAACACATTACATCGACGATATACAGGGTGAGTCTTAAATAAGAGCAAATCTTTTCCGAGATGGTAGATCTCGATAAAAAAGCATATTTTCTCTTTGCCGTTTTTCAAATAAAACCAAAATAACCGAGTTATTTTACATTGAAAATTTCCAAAAAAATTATTTTTTGCTAAACTTTTTGCAAAAATTTTAGACTTGAATGACATCAAAATAATTGTAAACCTATATTGACAGCTACTGTGAGGATAGAATGCGGAACAACGCCACCGGCAGCAATAAAAAAGAGGGGTGAGACAGGGTTGCGTACTGTCCCCCCTTTTCTTCGATATGTATTCTGAAGAGATTTCGCCACAGGCTTTAAGTGGTTGCGGAGTGGGTGTAAGGTAATTGGAGAGAACTTAAACAGCATAAGATATGCTGATGATACGGTTTTATTACCTGACAGCGAAGCTTCCTTACAAGAGCTGTTGAATAAAGTTACAGCAGCTGGGAACGAATACGGACTGAACATTAATTTTCGTAAAACCAAAGTCATGATCATTTCTAAAAAGGACATCAGCCAACAAACATAAAAGTAAACCACAATCACATAGAACAAGTAGTCAAATTCAAGTATCTTGGATGTTGGATCACTGAGGATTTCGATCAGGATGTAGAGGTTAAAGCCAGGATAGGGCAGGTTCGTGCCAGTGGCGCAACTAGCCAGGGAGGGCTAAGCCCCACCGCGAGACCTACACGGGTCGTATAAAATTGGTTTTAACCTGAAATCAATATTATCTTATAGTGACCTAAGCCATCCCAAAAGACTTGAGCCCCCCTAAAAGTCTATGTCTAGTTGCGCCTCTGCTCTTAGCACATTCCTCAACATGAAACTATTCTTTTGCAACAAAGATCTAAAGGTGCGTTCACACCTGCTGCGCCGCTCTGCGTCGCGCAAAACATTTTTTAAACATGTACTTTTGAAGTGTATCTTTTTTTAGCGCGCACAAAAGTATTTGTTAAAAAATGATCTGCGCGGCGCAGCGCGGGCGGCTCAGCCGGTGTGAACGCATCTTAACATTGAACACCCGATATCGTATGGTCAAGTGCTACATTTATTCTATGCTCTTATATGGAATGGAATCCCGGACCCTAAGTGACTAAAATGAGGAATATCGAAGCCTTTGAAATGTGGTTGCTTCTTAGGATACTGAAGATATCTTGGACGGCGCACATGTCAATTGAATCCGTATTAAGGTTCATTCTCACTATACCTTCCGTTTCCATTCCATATTCATTCCATATCCGTTCCGTATTTTTTTATTGTATTGACACTATATGTAAGTTTTCGTTCCGTATCAGTTCCATACTTTTTGTTATACAATTATTTATATCATTACGAAAGTTTTATTTTGAAAATTTGTATCTTTTGAAAAAGGTAATAGATTTAATTAAGAGGTGAAAGAATGAATAAATATCAGCAAAATTTTAACAGAGCTGGTACAAATGTAAGAACTTGACAATGCTGTTTTATATATATATATATATATATATATATATATATATATATATATATATATATATATATATATATATATATATATATATATATATATATATATAACCCTCAGATCTAACCAATAACAAGAAATAAGGTTATGAATTGGATTCCAGCGTAAGGCGCCACAGCGACCAGGGCGAATTCTAAAATCGATTCCCAAACCGTTCCAGCTGCAGTTAATTTTGGTAATTAAATGGTCCTAATTTCTGCGTTGGAACAAGGCTATTATTGAAGTTGAGTTGAACGATTTTTTTCTAGACAATATTAAATTGAGGTGATTACAGGCAGTCCTCGTACTTACGGCAGGTTAGGTTCTTCAAAATAGCGCCTTAAGTCGCAACGACGTCAGTCGAATCTTATTTTGTCATAAGATCCTATAGATAATGGAGAAGTTAGGTACTTTTGTAAGATAAAAATACGATAAAACAAAGAGATGTGCGTTTGTATATATTAATATTATTGTATTTTTAAATAATTGAGATATGAGAAACTATCTTTCTTTTAAATAATTGAGATATGAGAAACTATATTGTAATGTAGTTAAACTTATAATAGTACAAGAAATAAAAAAAAACAAAAATATAAAAAAAGTATTTTTTTTATGAAAAACAAATTAGGGCGAGTATTTTTACAGTCCCGATTTTTCATTATCTAATCAAAAAAGAATTTTTAACTATCCATATAATAGTAAATATAATACATATACTAATATGGCAACTACAGAAATACCAGAGAGTAAAGTAGACATACTTAGAAAGTATATATTTATTTTTTTTTGGTTGGAACTTTTATTGTGGGTATCGTCAAAAGTCATAATAGTTGCTAATTTAGTAATGATCAACACTGTCCCGCTTTTTCATTATGAGGATCTGTCAACCCTGCTTGTATGTTGCTAAAATTTTATTGTTTATGTCCAAACTTCTTTTAAAATTTGGATCGTTCTTTTCAAAAAATGACGTAACTCGAAACAGTGGGACGTAACTTTGAGGAATAGTGACAAAAATTTGTTCGACGTAACTCGAAACGACGTAACACGAAACGACGTAAATCGAGGACTACCTGTACTTTGTTTTTTATTCTTTTAGTAATAGTTTTTTTTGTGTAACTATATAAGTTCAAAGAAAGGATTTTTATATGTTTTATTGTAAAAAATATCTACGTGTTTAAAACAGAGTGTTCAAACATGTTTTAAACAAACATTTAAACAAAAAAATCGATTTTAAATTACTGTAATAAACATACCTGCATAGGTACTGGCGTTTTATTTCGCTCAACGATTCCATCGTCCAGTGGTTCAAATGTAGGTATAACATTTTCTTCTTTATGTGTATCGTCACTCCTAAACAAATGTAAATAAAAAAAAGAAAATAAATATAATAAAAATTTTATTTATTTACCTGTTGATTTGTTTAACTTCCGGTTCTGAGTCATCAGAGGAACTTTCGTCACTTGAACTACTCTCATCATCAGAGCTAAAACCGGAACTGGAACTAGAACTACTCGACGACATTTTTCTAGATCTACTAGAGTTCTCTCCTTTTCGAAAGTCTGAATCTTCGTCATCGTCTCGAACAATTTCCTCTTGATCTGACAAATCTTTAGATTCTTCATCTTCCACTGGCACCGGCGATGGTATTTTCTTCTTTCTGAAGCTAGGCATTTTTGGCAAAGAAGCTCGTAAACCAAGACCTTTAAAATTATGAAAAAGTGTATTATTAATCAGCAATAGGTAAGGCGGTTAAAATATACCTATATTATCATATCCACCATACAAGTCAGTATTTTGTTCCAAAAGAACATTCACATTGTCTTTTGTTAGAGTAGGTTTTTCTACAACCTCCTCTTTTGTTTGTGTTAACTTTGAATTTTCATCTTCCCACCTAGTATATAAAAATTAATTAAAAATTACTTGTCAATGTTTAGTTATTAACAATATTTTATAAAAATTAAAATATTACTTCTTCCTTTAATATCTGTTTACTACATAGACTTGGTGCGTTTTAGTTCATTTTAAAAATTCCGACCACAGCGCTCGAACGGCAGAAATTAGAAGTGCCGGGTATAAAATATTTCACGCAATTCTGTTACTGTTTATGTCGATCACATTGAAATAATATTAAAATCGTGGCTTTGTCATAATATTTAAGTATTTGATTTTTTCCTAGTGCAGTTATTGAAACTATAAAACACTCAGGTACGAGGTTTGTGTGATGTAACACCATTTCAGATAGTAAAAATTAAGTGAAAAAAAAACCAACTAGGCGTCGGCGTCGCCGTCGTGTTGTTTACAATATTCTCCGATGGTGACAGCACCGGCGGAGAATGCACCAAGCCTGTAGGGTTTATTATATAGGGTCACCTATATTTAAGGCATGAATTTAGTATTTAAAAACATATAAATCTTTTTAAAATTTTTAATTGCTATAGAAAAAAAATACGTACCACGTTTCGAACTTTTTAAATGCAGTCATTTCAACCATTTTCTTGTTAAAATCTCTTTTTAAAATATTTTTCAGCTCCTGAGTAATCTGTTCCACAACACCGTTGATAGTAGGCGCATGAGGATCTTTCCTGCCCAAGGTAGTAGTGGTATTGCTAATGGGAGTTGCTCCCGGAACTGGTTGGTAGGGAAATCCATATGGAGCAGCAGATGCCACGGCAGGATGAAAAGGTGGATAATACGGATTGGTGTAAGGATAAGTGGACGGATGCTGTGTTGATCCATAAGAAAACGATCGCCAGTCTGGGGTATACGCTAGATGAGGTCCGGGTGGGGGCGCAGAATACGCGTAAGATGTTGCTTGGCTTGGATAGCCTGAAACATGATAAAAAAATACCTAAAATAATTCCCATAATAGTTGCTAAATAAGCTTCTAAGTTATTGTAATAATAATTATTATGTCATCATCATCATTCTCAGCTTAATCAACCATTTCCAATTATGGTGTAGTCTCCCTCACATATTTAAATACTCTCTTTGTACTTGGACCCACTGTTGTCTGTTGTTGGCTATCTGGGCCCAAGTTATCCCTGCTAATTTCCTAATATCATGGTCCCATCTCAGATTTGGTCTTCCTCTAGGTCTCTTAATTCATCGTGGATACCATGCTGTCATTTTTTTGGTCCATTATGTGTATTATGTCCGTCCATTCTTGCCAGGTGTCCTGCCCATTGCTACTTGAGGGATTTGATTCTGTGGATGACATCTATTACCTGGGTCTTTTGTCGTATCCACTCTATTCTTGATTATTCCAAGCATATTTCGTTCCATTGAGCGTTATGCAACCTGCAGTTTTCTGCTGGTAGTACATACTGGTCGAATGTTTTCTTTTAGTAGTAAAGTGGCATTCTAGATTTGTATATGACTGAGTTTCTTCCATAAGTACTCCAGGCTAACTTAATTCTTCGGTTGATTTCTGGTAGCAGAGATCCCGAACTATGTATTAGTTGCCCCAAATATATGTATTCTTCCATTGTTTCCAGTTGTGTGTTATTTATTAAAATGACTTTTCTGTCTAGTAGTTCGTTATACATTACTTTAGTTTTTGTTAAATTCATTTTGAGACCCACTTTATTGCTGGCTGTATTTAGTTGGGATATATCAAATCATTCAAGTCATTATTATTGTTGGGATATATCAAATCATTCAATCATCAATTAGAATGACGATGAAAGCCTTCTCAAAGTCTATAAAGGTTATGGCTAGTGGAAGTTGGTATTCGTTTGTTCGGCATTATTATGTATGATAAAAAACATGATCAAAAAAACGGCGTATATCCCCTAATAAGTCCAAAGCATCTGAAGAATTCCCTATACTAATCCGAAAAAACTTACCTGAATATGAAGAATAACCGGGATACACCCCTGACGGTATCCCTGGAATCGGCGGATACGCAAGACTACTAGATGGTAAAGGTGGCTGAATAGGCGGCTGTGGAGGTGGCTGAGGTTTAACCTAAAATGATTAACGATTTTTTTCAATATTAATTATATCTACACAGCATCACCAATGTTTACCTCTTCAATTTTTGTACCTTCTGTACTACTTAAACTTGACATACTCATTCGATCATCATCCTTATCAAACTTAAATTCATTTTTAAAATCTCTTTTATCGATTGGACTGTAATTTTTCTCTCCTGTTATTAATTCATCTTCGCTTGAAGAAATATCACTGCCTAATTTACTAAATTCTTCCTGTGCTTTTCTAAGTAAAGCTGTTGTCTCTAAGGCGTCCTTTTGTTTAGCCACTACAGCCTTCAAATTATTAAAAACAGTATTATAAATTAGCAACTCAAAACAGTTTTAATCAAAGTTTACCTGCTCAAGAGCAAACTTGTGGCATTCTAAGTAGATTTCTTGTGACAGAAAAGGGGAAGGAGGTACTGATAGAGGTAATTCTTCTTCGTCTTTAGGTGGTAAATCTATGGCAGGAGCCATTGGATTTATAGGCATATCACTTAATGAGACGCTAGACCGATCTGTAAAATATTTACATACAGGATGTAAATACGTGCAAAAGAATTCAAGAGATGAAAAATAATGGTTGTTATTCATATAAAAAAAATTACGTCGCGTTTCCCTTTTAAGATATTTGGTTATACAGGGTACAAAATCACAGTATTATCGACTTGGTATGTACTAGAAAAATAAAATACGGTGGACTTAACTACAAAAAACGTTACTAAATGATTTCAACTTTTTAAATAAAATTCTGTTATCTTTCTGGAAACGTTTGTAAATGTATTTCTGATGTTCTTAAGCTGTTTCTGGCAAATTTGTAATATAGTTTTAATATGTCGCGTTTTTCTTTCAAACCAAAACCGACTATTGAAAAAACTACTTTTACAAATTATTGACGTTTCAATGCCATTATACTTGTTGTAAATCGTTAAGGCCCGTTCTCAGAACATCGGAGCGTCGCCAGCGACACGTCAAAAGATCCAATGAGGTTTGTACAAAGTTCAAACAGCTATCAATTTTAAATTTAAACAACTCCCATTGGTTCTTTGAAGCGTTAACCACTGTCGCCAACGACAGAACGTCGTTCTGAGAACAGGGCTTTAGAATCGCACTAAATTTCTCTATACAGGTGTGTAAAAATGTAATATGGTGCTATAGTTTTTGGGATCCCAATAGTGGTTAAATTTGAAATTTACCCTGTATAACCACGTAACATTCTAAGGGAAAAAATGTACAAAAAAATAATATAAAAAACTATTTTTTTGCAAGGAATCGCCTCCCCTAACTACACCCTCCATCGGGTGCAACTGAAAAGTGACTCACCCCTGTAACTTTTTTATTTTTTCAGATAAAAAAAAAATAGATTTGGTTTATTAGTATATAACATAAATTAGGATTGATGCATTCAGTTGTTTTTGTTCACCTCCCGTTTCACCGGAAATTACTACAACTTTTAATTTTTAAATGGCACTCTTGATATATTTCTACATTATAAAATAGAAAACAAATGTCTTGCAGTATAGGTATATAATAAAATTATATAAGGATTCTTGCCACTTAACTGCTTATATAGAAATTTAATTCTACGCTGTGTTTGTCATAATGCGGATCAACCTGCTCTCACTACCGGTTTCGGAGCCCTACTCCATCATCAGGTGAGCTTGGGCAGATCCACAAAATGACAACCACAGCGCAGAGATAGTTAATTCCGACTTGTCGAAAAGTGTCTTAGATATTGAGTCTCGAACGGGAGATAGCGGCCTGCGTTTTACTATCGATAGTTGCGCCCCAGTGGTACGAAAGTACTACCATTGCACGCAGGCCGCTATCTCCCGTTCGGGACTTAATATCTAACCGACACTTTTCGACAAGTCGGAATTAACTATCTCTGCGCTGTGGTTGTCATTTTGTGGATCTGCCCAAGCTCACCTGATGATGGAGTAGGGCTCCGAAACCGGTAGTGAGAGCAGGTTGATCCGCATTATGACAAACACAGCGTAGAATTAAATTTCTATATAAGCAGTTAAGTGGCAAGAATCTTTATATAATTTTATTTCTACTTTATTCGATAGAAAATGACACTTTGAATAGAATGACATATCATAAGTCAACTTTGACATTTTCGCTTAAAAAAATCGTATTTTAGATTTCAATCTAGAGTACCATGGCCTAGAGTACCTGGCCAAAATTAATTAAATTATAGTAATATATATGCCATATTCTCACCATCATCGCTGTCTATGGATGTAGGTATGGGTAATGGTTTAGGTAAAGGTGGTATATCCTTAATCAAATCCTTATGTGGATTATCATCATCAGAATCAACGCCCAATGTCAAAAATGGTGGAGCCATTCCGCCTGTTCCTTTTTCGAGTAACAATGCGATTCTAGTATCGAGATCTAAAGGTTTTTCTTCCTCCTATATTGAAAAATACATCGAATAGTTACGAATTTTCACAAAGACAAGCAGTGGGATTCTGTAAGCTCCGTAGCAAGAAATTTTCTGCCTAGCCTATGCTATTTGTATGCGATTGATGAGTCACTAGACAGGAAATATGTTTACAGAATCGGACCCTAGAATTTTTGTCAAGATCAATTCATTAGTGTATAAAATAGAATAATTTGATAAGGTCCAAAGACTAGCAAAATTACATAAAGTTTGAGTAGAATATTTCAAATTTCCTGTTTTGTGACAACCGCATTTTGAGAAAAATCATGAATTAATAGTCAAAATCAGCATTTAAAGAAATATAAATACAGGGTGAGTCTTAGTAAGTGCAAACATTTTCAGAGCTGGTGAAATTCGATAAAAGAAACATATTTTCTCTTTGCCGTTTTTCAAATAAGTCCAAAATAACCGAGTTATTTTACTTTAAAAATTTCAAAAAAAAAATATTTTTTGTCTAAATTTTGAGAACCACTGGATCTTTTCTGGGTTTTCTTTCTTGTAAATTTAATCTACTACATATGTTGTCATATTATCAAAAAAATATGTTTTTAACTAAAAACTAAAAAAAATCAAAAAAATTCTAAATTTTCAAAAAATACTTTTGGCGAAAAAAATCTCATAATCGTGTTTCTGGGGTCGAAATATACCACCCCTAGAAATATTTGCCCTTATTTAAGATTCGTCCTGTATAATACAGGTAAGTAAAATATACATACCTTCTCTTTCAATGTCTTGTCCTCCTTTTCGCGTTCCTTCTCCTTTTTACTCCTATGTCTGTTCTTCTTTTCCCTATCTCTATCTTTCTCTTTCTCCCTATCTCTACTTCTTAACTTATCTCGTTCCCTAATTTAAAACAATTTTTTTATTACTATATTGCAAGATGCCGTTTTTATACTGCACACAATACATCCCTTGTTGGTTTTTTCATTAAAAAATATGATAAGGATTTCCAAATACTTATTTTAATAAAAATACCAAAAAAAATTACCAGTCCTTTTCTTTCTCTCTACTAATATCAGAAGAAGGCCACTTAGATACTGGTAGAGAAGTTGGCCTCTCCCATGGTTCAGGTGGCGGCCACTGTGGTTGGGGTATAGGCCATGGCGTCGCAGGTAGATGAGGATATGCTGGAGGAAAAGAATAAGTTGATGTCGGCGGCATAGGCGTTGAGCCCACTGAATGGTAGTCATATCTGTAATTTTTATAATATATTCGAATCTTGAATAATGAAATGCTTTAATTCTTTAATTCCAAGACTTGAAATAACTGCACTTACGGTAAGGGAGTTGTTCCTGATGACCCATAGTTTGTTGAAAACTCACTTGGCGTGGTTCCATAGCCCATATCGGAACTGCTAGGTGTTGAAAAATCCCTGTTACCAATATAAGAATGTCATTATGGTCAGTATTTCTTTAACATCCTAACTTTTTGTTTATTTACAAAACAGAAACAGAATTATAAGAATGTAATCCAAACCAAACGAAATTATAGTGAAAAAAAACATCCAGTAATATAATTCAAATTCATATTATATCACATAATTTAAAATTAGTATTAAAATAAAAAATGGTTTGTCACAAATTCTTTTGTAACTATAAATATTATATCATTTTTATTTAATACTATTTTTATAAAAGGTATTTTAACACTTTTTTACGTTACAATACAGGGTGGCGCCTCTCATACGCCGCGGAAGCTCCAAGGAGAACGGTAGTTCATATCGAAATTCAATTTTGGCAGCATATGTAGGTTAACTGAAAGCATTTTATAATAATATATAAATTATATAGGATGTCCCCAAAAAAAGTTACACATCAAAGTTGTGTTTTTTCTAATGGAGCACCCTATATATTTTTGGATTCATTGGATTTTGATTTTCATTGGTGCGTTTTATTAAAGAAGCATATACCTAAAATCTAAGGATTTTGACATATTTCACATTTTGTGAAAAGGAAGAGTAAATTTTAAATTTCGATAACAGCTACCTAAATTTTAGTTCACCTTGTATAGCCTGATATTTAATTACAGTAACCATTGTATGTTAAACCAAATTGAAATTTGACCCGAAAAGTTATACAGGGTGAGACAAAATTAATATGGAACATTAGTCACTTTTAAAAGCAAGTTACTCCTTTATTTTAAATGGAACACCCAGTAGGTATAATATTCCAGTGTTCAATGGGGAATTTATATACCTTCAAAATATTATTAAGGTTGCCTACCCCTCAGGCAAATGTCACACAACACTGTCTTTCACATATCCTCATAAAAAAACAGACTAGATAAAATCAGGAGCATTTAAGTATTGTATTAATTGGTGAATGCACACTGCATTCGCCACCTAACAGAATCATATCAATTCTCTCTTAAGTAGGATAAGTTTGCATTTTCGGCAAATTTCTTAGAATTTTTTTTGTTTGAACTGAAACAAAATGATAACTAGTTGTTAAAGTGGGACTAAGTAGACAGCTATGTTGAAGTAATGTCAGACATATCACAGCCACCTAGATTTTATCAAATAATAAAGATACTCAGATCAAATCATGTAAATGAAAATATCTAGGAAAATCTTTGTTTGAGGGGTAGGCAACCTTAATAGTATTTTAAAGAGACACGAATTCTCCATTGAATATTGGAATAATATACTGAGTGTTCTATTTAAAATAAAAGAGTAGCATGCTTATAAAGGTGACCAATTTTCAATATTAATTTTGTCCCACCCTGTATAACTTTTTGGATCAAGTTTTAATTTGATTTAAAGTACAATAGTTAATTTAACTACATATTAGACTATACCGGGTAAATTCTATTTTAGGTAACTTTTATTGTAATTTAAAAATTATTCTTTATTTCTAGACAATGATAAATATGTCAAAAACTTTACATTTTAGTCATATATATAGTCTGTCCAACGAGAAAATCCTTGACAGTGATAGATGTGTCTGTCATTTTAATTTCAAAGTAGTTTATTTTATTTTACAAAGAAATAAGTTGGTACAACTGGAACGCATAGATATATTTAAAATTTGATTGACAAGATGACAAGTGATTACTTCAAAATATTGTGAAAAAACTGTATAAAACTGAAAAAATGTAATGGAGTTATTTTATTTAATAAAAACGGTATGTGTTAATACAAAACAAACAAGAACAAGACACTACATACCAAAAAATATAAAAAAGAACTATTATTTACTTTCAAGCTTTATGAAACTACCCGCATTTATGATTATATTTACCAATATAACTTATGTACAAATACAAATTTGTAATATTTTACAGGAATAAATAAAACAACATAGGTAAATAAAACAAACTATTTTATTAATAATAACACCTACCAAATTTTATACCTTAAAGGTTGATTAATTAACTTTAATCTTAATTTTTTTAAACCAGTACCTTTTGACATTATTTTTCTGCAGTACTAAAATCCATTATTTACCTATCGTGTGATGTCGATATTTTACAGCTAGTGTTTAGTTTGATCCTTCCACCATATACGAGATGCACTTATCTACGACGAAATGGTATACAAACTTTATCGATGGCAACTTCATTGGTGTATAAGACTTTCTGCCTGGGCAGCGAGTATTAACCATAAACTGTGCTATGGGTCTACAGTTAATTTTCACTCGATTTTTCCTCCACTTGACTTCAAAAGACACAAAACACACGTAATAATACGAATCAAAATGCCTCATCTTCCAAAACGCAGGGTATTTAACAAAAGTTGACACAAAATTATAACCTATAATTTGGCAAGACTTTGACAAGCGTCAAAAATGACAAAAATCTAAAGGCGAGTTCATACGCATCGGCGTCCGTTTGTCGTTCATCGTTCCGTCAAACCAATAAAATTGAAATACGATCTGTCATTTTTTAAATAAACCAATAAAACTGGTTAAAAACAACAAGGCACGACGTATGACGGATTTATATTTAAACCCATCCATAGATAACTTAAAAATTATTAGAAACTTTTTTTAGTAAAATAAATAGATTGGTATGGGACGTCATCTGCTTTTCTTCTGTCATCGTCTGTCGAAATATTACCTGAGAAAAAAAACAGAGTATAGTTTGGTCATATACTCTTATAAAACTCACCTGTATTTTTCTCCCAGAATCCAAAAATCAATTAATATATAGGGTGTTCCATTACAAAAAACACAAATTTGATATGTAACTTTTTTGGGGACACTCTGTAGAACTCTCTATATTTTTAAAAAGTGCTTTGAATTAACCTACATATTATGCTCACAAAATTTCATTTCAATACAAACTGTCGTTCGCCTTGGAGCCTCCGCGGCGTATGAGGCGCCACCCTGTATTAATAAAAAATGCCGTAAAAAAAAGTTTTAATTATCTAAATTTCAGTTTTTTTTTTCGAAAGGAATCGCCATGAATGTTTGTAAGCACGTGGATTAATATATGTTTTGGTGCCTGAAGAAGCGACAATAAAGTCGCGAAATGTCGCAAAAACGTTGTTTCCTTTCGAGCCTTCCCAAACACCCACGATTTTTTTCTTTCTGCGTATTTTTCTTCAATTTCAAATCCTTAGTTCCAGCCTGATGGAGATGTAAACGAAACGTCGTATACAACTTTGCAGTGTGGAACCGTGTGCATCGTCGCTCACATAGTCTACCCATCAAATTTGGTCCCAATCGGAGGACATCAACTTTTGACGTTTCTTACGTTAAAACGAACTGTCACAGTGACACGGTCCAGTGGTCCCAAATTTCATTTAAATCGGACGACTTTTTGATTTGATACATTGATGATGGAGTTTTGTAGTGCACGAAAAGTCGTCAAAATATCATGAAAAGATGGGGTTCTTTGAGTCCCACCTACATTCCGAGTTTTAGCGCCCTGGCCCACACACGACGCTCTAAGATCGTTACCACTTTTCCTCTCGCGATCTCGTATGTACAGTCTTTAATTTTTACTGCCAACGCGCGTAAAGAAGTATGTACCGGGTGTCCCACTAAGAATAGCTCTCGGCTGTATCTCGGAAAGTATTAGCCATAGGGTTTAAGGAAAAAAATATTTATGACTAAAGGGGCTATGAAAAATTGCTGGAAACTATTTTCAAGTTAGTAAACGGCTAGGTGGCGCAACTGCTATGGAAAATAAGAAAATAGATTTTTTACAGAATTTTGCCTAGATAATGGGTACTATAAATAATAGCTTCATAATCTTCAGTAAATTTTGGATTTTTTTGTTAGAACCATTTTCCCCTATCTGCTAAAATAAAGTGGTGGGGGAAGATTAGATCTATCTTTATTTAAATGTTAATAACTCCGGACTGGATGATCAGAATCCAACATACGAGGGCTCGTTTAAAAGAGCGTTTCTTACTCTATATTATACCATAAAAATAACAATAGTAAGGTTTTGAACGTAGACGTTAGGGGACGTTTTCTTACAATTTAACAAACATAGCGGGTTTTTTCAAAAAAATTAAATATGATAGTATGTGTTATTTTAGCTGATAGTAAAGAGTAATAAAAGCTTAAAAAGTCAGCGAAAATCGCATCTTGACATCTTCTTTCAAACCGAAGATATTAGCAAAATTATAATAAATACCAAAAAATAAGCTCTTAATTACCTTATTTTTACAATACAGTATCAGTAGCCCTCTTGATTAGACTTTAAATTAGAGATTGAATAATAGTGAACAACAAACGATATGATTCAGTGAAGTCATGATAGGCTTTGGAAAAATGTTGCTTTTGGCTTAATAGTATAAACGTCAAATTGTTATTAGATCAACATTTTGATAGTCTTAGCAGCGTTTTTTTATCTTTTAAATGCTTTTTCAAAATGCCTTTATTATCTGAAATAGTTGAAGCTGTTGGCATTTTGAAAAAGCAATCAAAAGATAAAAAACGCTGCTAACACTATCAAAATGTTGATCTAATAACAATTTGACGTTTATACTATTACGTCAAAAGCAACTGTTTTCCAAAGCCTACCATGACTTCACTGAATCATCGTTTCTTGTTCACTATTATTAATATCTTAATTATTAGATATTAATACATCTGATATTATGATATTCTGGTATATCGTCGATTTTAAAATAAACTAACTGTTTCTATCTTATTTTTAGGTTAGAATAGGCATAATCAAGAGGGCTACTGATACCGTGTTGTAAAAATAAGGTAATTATGGGCTTATTTTTGGTATTTATTATAATTTTGCTAATATCATCGGTTTGAAAGAAGATATCAAGATGCGGTTTTCGCTGACTTTTGAGCTTTTACTACTCTTTACTGTCAGCTAAAATTACATATACTTTGCATTTAATTTTTTTGAAAAAACGCGCAATGTTTGTTAAATTGTAAGACAATGCCCCCTAGCGTCTACGTTCGAAAGCTTATTATTATTGTTTATATGGTACAATATAGAGTAAGAAACGCTCTTTTAGACGAGCCCTCACTTGTTGGATTTCCATCATCCAGTCCAGAGTTATTAATATTCAAATAAAAACAAATCTAACCTTCCCCCACCACTTTATTTTGGTAGATAGGGAAAAATCATATATATATTAACTAACGTATATTGACTCCAAACTGCATTCTGTGAAGCCGAGCCGGTGAAATGGGTATATAAATCTTCGCTCAGTTAGTGAAACACAAGCGTTGTGCGCAAGCGTGAATTTTTAATTATCGATCGGATAACTAAACCAATCAGAGCATAAGCTGTTCATTCGTACAGCTTCGTACGGCTTTCGTTCGCGCTTCGTTCGCGATGCGAACACAAAGACAGTTGGATAAGAAATGAGGCACAGAAATGAGGATCGTGTTTGGGCTCCCGTTCGACCACGCGTTCCACAAGGCCAAGCTAAAACTAATCGATATTCAGAATTTTGGAGTTGCGCTATTGCGCCAGCGTTTTTCTAACAGACGAACTTATGTGAAATATACATGGACCGGTTATCTAGTTGTCTCTAACTCGGCTTCAACTCCAACACATTGCAGGGATAGGCGATGATCCGTATAGATTTGATATGTATATGGGAAAAATGGTTCTAACAAAAAATATTCAAAATTTACTGAAGATTATGAAGCTGTTACTTATAGTACACCTTATCTAGGCAAAATTGTGTAAAAACTCGATTTTCTTATTTTTTGTTGCAGTTGCGCCTGCTAGCGGTCGTTCTACAAACTTGAAAATAGTTTCCAGCAATTTCCCATAGCCTCTTTAGTTATAAATATTTTTTTCCGCAGCCGCTACGGCTAATACTTTCCGAGATATAGCCAAGAGCTTTCTTAGTGGGACACCCTGTACAATTTCAAAAAAAATAGGTCATCTGAGAGAGGCTTAGGTAAACCGGCATTCAATATGTCAACTGTATTACATACCAAGTTCAGTTCCACAGGACATCACAAACTGTGTTTTAATTTATAAGATGCTATTAAATTAGAATTTGCACCAACACTACCAAACACAAAACGATTTTAATATCAATACGCTTACCTAAAGTTTCTTGAGGATCCATATCTGTCTTTATCTTTATCTTTTTCCCTGTCACGCGTGTCTCTATCTTTCTTAGATGTACGAGAATAGTTGTCTGTGTAATCATCTGAAGATTTGCCATGATGTTTAGATTCCTTATCCTTCGATTTATAAACGATTCTATCATCAAAATTATCCTCACCTGGATCATATGGTAACCTAAAATAAACAATTTTTATAGTTCCATTCAACGTTATTTAGAAAAAAAATTACCTATCTTCATCATTTTTTAATTTCTCCCCATTGTCCCTTTTAGATGTATCTTCAGTTGTAGAAGGACATACAGGGGGAGGTAAAACTGATGGAGGAGGTTTCTTTTCTGCAGTTAACTCTTCATGTTTTTCTTTACATTTTTGACCAAACGAATCCAAGAAAACTTCAAGTATTTTTCCCATAACACTGGTATTATTTAATTTCTCTACACATTGTTTTGCCGATTTTACATCTTCATAAACTACCCTGCCAATGCCTAAACGAAACAACATTATGATATATCAAAAAATAATTATATTATTTCTAAAGAAATTAAGTGTTAATTATCTGCTTACCTAAATGCTTATTAGTAACAGGATGATAATATATAAATAGTTCTTCAATTATTCCAAATTTTTGAACTATATCTTTCAAAAACTGCTTATCAACATTATCATTTAAATGAAAGATTGTTACTTCAATTGATGGAGGTTCGCCCACATAATTATGGTCGATTTTAAACCTAAAAAAGAATTAATAATGTTAAATACTGTGTTAACAATAATTGTTAACACAGTACTTAACAGTATTAAGCCGTAAAATATAAAAACTATTTTGTCAGTTTAACTAAAAATTTATTAATGAACCCTCGTATTTCAGAAAATAAGTTAACAAAATATTTGTCGTACGCCCCTGGTATAAAATTGCATGACGTCAGTATTATTTGACATTACAACTCCACGTCGCCATCATCATTTTATTTTTTAAGTTTCTTTATATTATCATTTTATTTATATTATGCCTTATTTTAATTTTACCCTCAAATTATTTTATACTTTTTTAACACTTTAAAATTATGTAATACTGATTACATATTATAAAAGCAAACGAAATTTCGGGTAACTATGGATTATTTGTAAGAAAACCAAACAGGAGAAACATCCTTAAGTTTACACATTAAATTTAAACACTTTATCCAATTCATATTAAATATGAATAGGTATATTGAATAAGTTGTGTTCTAAACGTTTAATTAACGTTGCGCAATTGTCGATTACAAACAATTTATATATATATATATATATATTATGCTCTTATTATCAATAATGAATCTTATAAAATAGTAGGTATTAAAAAACATTTTACATCTTCACTATATTTACATAAAACGTAAAGTTACCTAGATAAATCTTTAGATCATTCATTCAATTAACTTTTTAGCAGGTAAGAAAACACTCATATATATGAGTATATTTTAATTTGTTTTTCTTGTAGGATTAGGTATCAGAATTATTTTTAGTCAACTCACAAATATATTAAATGTAATAAATATTCTTGTTTTATCTTACCTAGGAACAGGTAAATCTAATGTTTCGAGTCTTGTCCATATTCTTGTTAAATGAGAACGTGGATCTCGTAAGCTGACAGGAGGGTAGGTATTATCATTGGGCACAACTCCATCATATCTGTAAAGTTTTGATGTTCCCTTTACTAAAAATGGATCAACCAAGAGTTTGTAATTTTTGGGCTTTCCTTGTGGTGCACTGTGTGAAGTACGGTGATCCATTCCATTCATTTCTAGAAAATATATTCTGTTGTTTTCCCTGTTTTCAGTAATAACCACAAAATGAAATTCTTACCTTGATTGTGTATTGGCTGCAATATATTTCCGAAATTTCGAAAGTAACAAGAAATAAACAAGAGGTCAAAAGAATCTCAGCTGGGATCAAACTTTAAAACTGTTGGCATTTTAAAACTGTAGCAATTTTGAAGCGAATTTTTAGAAGAACATTTATTAACACGATATTAAGTCAGAAATGTATTTTTTAACGTCTATAACTACTATTTTTTACGAAATATTTATAGAGCTTTTAACACTACACAATCCCTAACCTCGATTTACGTCAAGAAATGCTGAATTGAATACCATAGTGAATATATATCATATTAATTTGTAATAAAAAAAATGTCTTTAAAACCTTATTCAAAATAAAGATTTTATTCTTTGATGCTCTTTTCGGGAAAAATGGAGTTAAGTGGGCAGGATTTGTTAATATTCCATTAAAAAAGTTAAAATCTAACTGATTAGACTCTTAAAAAAACATCAGAGTGTTTATTGTTCAATGGCCATATTTTAATTTCTATTTTAAATTTTAAAAGCTTTCTTCCCAGTAGGAACCCTTAATTAAAATATACACACATTATTTTAAACAAACTCAAAAGATAAAAATATCAGAATCATATCAGAATACAATATTTTAAAGACTCAATTTTATATGATCAAAAATCATAGCCCAGTAATCTATGATCATATTCATCCAAAAAAACATAGAAGGCTCAATTTCATATGTTCCTAAATCCAACCTAAATCATATTCGTCCAAACTATGGAGGGTAGAGATTACCTAAGGAGATTACATGGAGATAAGTTTATGGGGTAGAAGCTTTGACTATATAACCCCCTCGTTATATAGTCAAAGGGTAGAGGTATATTGGTTGCGATCCCAGGATAATGAATAATCGATAGAAAGTTTGTATCGAATAACCTAATATAACCTTTTTATACAACCAAAAGGACCACCAAAAAATTCTATGTTAATTAACAGTCAAATATCCCTATTCTATATATCCTTGAGTTGAATTTATATAACACGCGTAACGTAACTTGGTTAAAAACCAAGTCAAAATATACCATGAAGCAATTTCAATTTTGTTTTAAAATAAAATGCAGCTCTGCTCTATACTATTGCTCTATGGATATGCGTAATTTACAACTGAAGCTGTGGCTGGCTGTGGAATCAAAGTCACATAAAAAGTGATTACATAAGTCATTTAGTTCTTTTTGAATAAGAAATTTAAAAAATAAAATGGTTTTCCAGAAGTTTCTTAAAAAAGTATTTTCTGTTAAAGCTCAAGATGAAGAAGACGGCGAATTGGTTGATCCCCAGCAAACTTTAAGGGTATGACTTTCAGACTTATAATTATTTGTACTGATGTATTAGCTATTTCTATCTAAAATTATTAGGCTCAGTGTCTAGAAACCAACCATTGTAAACATTTAGCTGAGAAATACCAAGCATGCAATGACAGAGTTAACTCTAGAAGCCACACAACAGAGATTTGCAACGAAGAATTATTCGACCTGTTACATGCCGTAGACCACTGTGTTACAAAAGATCTTTTTAGTAAACTGAAGTAGACTTATAATGTTTAAGTTAGTAGCTACTATATTATAGGTATTTATGCATCTTTTTCTCCAACTGTACCTAATCTGTTGAATAAAACTCTTAATTCAGTAAGTGATTTTTTTTATATCAAATATTAAACAGTGTTTCAAAATATTAAAAATTTGATATTAAAAGACAACCTTATGCCTATTTTTTAGAACCTATGCTTTTTGAAATATAGAGATAAATATTTATGAAGCTGTTTTACATGTATCGAGAATACATAGAAAATTTTCTGAATTTATTTTCATGAAATTCATGTATCCACTGCTTGAATTCCTGACTCTTCTTATCCCCCTTAATCATTCTTTAGTTCCTCCAGTTGTCTTGGTAAGATGCTGCATATCTAACTGAGCTTGGGCAATATCACTTAATGCAGCTTGAATTTTTTCTAATAATTCCTGCCCTGATTTTACTACAGCATCTAAACGATCTGCAGCTTCTTGATTTTCCTGTTCTAATTGTTGTAAACTAGCTAACTAAATTTAAAAATATGGTATGAATGTTATTTATTGTGTTCAAATGGAAATCATACTTGTAATTCTGTAGAATTTTCCTCACTTGGGAGTGATTCTATAAGTGTATCAATATCTTTTGCACATCTGGCAATAAGTGTAGTAAATAGTTGAACATAATCCTCCTATAAAAGTTAATTAAATGCCCAAAATTATATCAAGGTCAGTCAATCTTCTTACCTGATTTTGCTGTTGTGGTGTTTGTGATCCGGATCTATCAAAATTTGGAAACTTACTGGCAGGAGCAAATTGTTGTAATATGCCAATACTATTACAAAAATGTTCTGCTTGCTAAAATGAATATATTTATTTTGTGTCTATGTAGTATAAGAACGAACCTGATTAATACAGTCTTGAAGTTGTGTGAGTCTATCAGCCATATTATATAAAACTATAAATAATAATTAAGATACCTAAAATTAATTCAATTCGTTATTTTAGTAACTGCAGGTTGCTGCAGGTAACTGTGTTTAGTAAACATCACGTAAACATTTAAATCGTAATTTAAACCAAAGATTTAAACAGAGATTTAAATAACCATCATATAACCATAGATAAAGGAATAAAAAAACAACCAAACCAGACCATAGCTAACAGAAAAAAAATACCACAGAGTACAAAAGTGAGGGATGGGTTGAAATCGAAGTGAATATTATGATTCATTTGAACTAAAAAATTAATGTCTCGATTTTACAATCATATTATCTTTGTTTACATATCTGACGTCACCAAGGGACCTTAAAAAAACTTCATTGAAAAACTTACTATATCGAGTGCGTTCCACTAAGCGCTCATAATGCTCAAAATATGCCTTCGGTCGTTCCACACATAGTTCCACATGACGATCGCGGACGTTGTGGTCGCGGCGTAAACGTCACTAATGACGTCATTATTTTCGTTCACGCCGAGCTCACAACGACCCATCTGAATATTAGGATCGAAGTGGACGTTGAGGAATTTTGGCGCAATTTTTAAAATTTAGACAAAAGATTATCGACTTAGGATAAAAATTTTCATAGATTCTCATAGCCAATAATACGTGGCCTAAGTGTTCGCTTTTTACGTCGCGATTTTGTAAAATGCATTCCACTATTAATTCGTCTGAACTAGATGAAGAAGTTTCAGACATATTCCGATGCACCAAATATCCAACTGTCGCCAAAGACATTTTGATTTCTTTTTTTAGACTAGAGGTGGGCCAGTCTGCGATTTTTGTGGAGCTGCTACGCTCTGCGACTGCTCCAATAAAAGCACTGTGACAAGTAGCAGCGATTTTTCGGAGCAATTAACCTATAAATTAAAAATGTAGTTTTATAGGTTAATTGCTCCAGCATCACACTCAATATTCGGCACCGTTCGTTGCATTACTAAAAAAAGTACAGGACTATAGGTGTGATTATGATAGGCAACATCATCGTCTAGTTTTTATTTATTTATATCGTATGATCGAAAAAACGGCGTCAGTGATGCTATGAAATGAAGATTGCTGGCATTTTATATGTAAAATTTATGGGGAATGTTATCGATTGTCATTTCCAAGCCAACTGGACGCCGTTTTTTATTTCGATCAGTAGTGGCGATTTTAACGTCTGTGCAATCGGGGTAAGTCACCGACGGGCCCCAAGCCTCCCGGGCCCTTGCGAACAAGATTCGAACTTTTCCGAACTACGGGCCCCTAGAGCTCTTAAAATCGCGGCTGTACGGTACTATACTGATGTCTTAGTTTGATAGATGTTGCTATATTTTTTTAGTCTATTCAGAAGAATTTGAGTGTTTCTAAGTACCAAGCACTTTGCTATAAATATCTTAAAGAGTCTGTTCATTTTCACAGAGTGGTGGCCCATGGTAAAAACTTAATGTTATATTCAATTCAAAGTCGAAACTGTCAAAAAAATCTTTATTAGTGACCGGTTTCGGCTATTTAGCCATCATCAGACCTTAAAAATAGATATAAATAATAAAACTTATATGAATGTATAAGATCAAATAAAAGATTTAGGATATACAACAAAACACAGATACAAAATTAACTAACAAATAAACATACTAACAAGTTAAAAATTACCTTTGTCAAAAACATCTGTTTGTGATTAATATATAATACATAAATATCTTATTTAGATTCATGAAAGAAAAAGCGAACGCTGCTACGTTTCCCGTTCCCAAACTCCCAACAGCTCCAGTACACAGAATATACTCAATATACTATGCTCCAGTCGACTGCGACCTGCGACGACTGTGACTGGAACAGTCTGACCGGGCGACGGGGCTAGGAGCATTTTCAGAATTTACACTATTGCCTGCTATTGCTCCTATTGCTACTCACGAGCGCAGATGTCCTAAATTTGTAAACTGCTCCGAAATGTCACTGCGATTTTCTTGGAACTGGAGCAGTCACATACTGCGACGTTGGTGGAGCTGTGACAAAGTAGCGGACTGCGATTTCACAACCCACCTCTATTTTAGACAGATTTTTTGAATTCTCTTCTGTGATTTTGACTATTATTTACTATTTATTTACATACATTGACAGGATTGACCCTTAAAACGCCCCATAACCCATTCCACTTGAGTTTATGATTGTAACGCTCGCAAGCAAGTGGAACCGGAAAAATCGCGATCTTGAGCGTGAACGTTATGAGTGCTTAGTGGAACGTACTCATCGTCCAATGATATCGTAGTGAAACGTGATAACCTGCTAACTCCATTTTTTACGTTAATAAGTTTTTTTATACCATTGGAAAGAGAAAAAAATACTCTATAAGTAGGGAAAGAAAATAAATTTTTTCCATTTAAAAACATTTTCTATTTTAACTCAATAATATCTGCTAACTCCCAGTGATCTGAAATAGCCACCGAAATGCTGCTATCTCCGTAATTTCCATTACGATCACGCTAAAGCAAACACACAGATTCTTGGTCGTATGTTTCTTTTAGTACAGTACGTCGATCCAGGGTCGCACTAGGCTAAAGGGGCCCGGGTGGCACGTAAGGAGAGGCCCGTGTGGATTTTTTTTTTCGTATTTCTTCACCTTACGTTTTGGTCAATTTTTTTCTATTATATACAGGGTGAGTATTAAATAAGTGCAAATATTTTTAGGGGTAGTACCGTATGATCGAAAAAAACGGCGTCCAGTTGGCTTGGAAATGACGATCGATGGCGTTTCCCATATAAATTTACATATAAAATGACAGCGATCTACATTTCATAGCCATCGTTGACGCCGTTTTTTCTCGATCATACGGTATATTTCGACCCAAGAAACACGATTATGAGGACACTGATTTTGTTTTTGAAAATTTGAATTTTTTTTTTAATTTTTGGAAATGGAGAGAAAAACATAGGTACTTTGTTTGTAATATAGCAACATAGCCAGCAGATTAAATTTACAATAAGGAAAATCCAGTAATTCTCAAAATTTTAGGAAAAAATTGGAAATTTTAAAAGTGAAATAACTCGGTTGTTTTGGATTTATTTGAAAAAAACGGTAAAGAGAAAATATTATGTTTTTTTATCGAGATTTACCAGCCCTGAAAATATTTGCACTTATTTAAGACTCACCCTGTATAGAAATCAGGGAACTACCCACAGGAACTACCCATGGAACTACCCAAATGCAAGGTAAACCAATGCAATGCAAATGCCATAATGCAATGCAAAAGCAAATATTATTAAGAATAAATAATGAACTATAAAGGGGGCCCGCGAAGGCTGGGGCCCCCCTAATAGTTATATATACAATACGGCCAGTCCGACCCTGCGTCAATCCGTTCTGTAAATACTAGCGATGGGAACTATCGATTGGTTACAGAATGAATGATTTCAACTATCGAATGGTTTTATTCGAATAAAATCATTCATTTGTATACTAAAGCATATGTGACAACCTCGCCGTGCGACTAAACGGTTATCGTTGAGCCACGACTATCGAATGCTTTTGATAAATGAAATTTAGCACATATTTAGTATTCATTTGATTAGGTAGTATACAGTTCATTGGATTTTTGTGTGCGTCAGTGGATTATTACTTCTTCCAAATTTTTATAACTTCGTCTTATAAATACTGTGCTATTTTTGCGTTTATTAATATTTAAAATACTAAAATAGTAGTCTTTTTTAATTGACGATTGTGTGCGTGTGCAGGTGTCAAAATTTTTTGGAAAATTTGTGTGATTTTCCGTAGCCCGATCTTTCAATTATTTAATTTTATATGGTATATGGTCTATTTTTTAATGGGAAATTTTGAGAAGTAGCAATTTTTAAGAGAGATGAGATGAACTTACAATTAATTTTAAAAATACATATATTTGTATTTTAGATGTTTTAATAATATGAATTAGTTGAATTTAATAATCATATTTAAGTAATGTGGTTAAGTAAATGGTTATCGAACTCCAACTATGGGGTGAGAGAAAATTAAATTGAAAGTTTTACACGTGCCAATTTAAAAAAAAAGGTAACGATGTTTGTATTTATAAAAAAAATACATAACATGTATTTTTTTGCGAAGAAATATTGCATTTATTCTTTAAAGTAAATGCCAGTAAAAGTAAATATTATTTTTAAATAGTAACACTAAACTAATATAAATAATTTTGATTTCTAATTGTTTATTTATATTTTCCTTCCATTACACTGCATGCTTAGAAAATTAATAAATGTATATATTTCATGATTTTAAAATTCGTTGTTAATATAACAAATTAGTTCTGTAATTATTATTATTTAATAAACCAACATTGCCAAAAAATTTAGAGACGGTATATTATTTTTATTTTTTTTTTTTTTTAAATTTTAAGTATATTATTTTTAAATAGGATCTAATATAAATAATTTTGACATCTAATTTGTTGTTTATATTTTGTTACTACTTAAAAAAATGTTTATATTAAATGATTTTAAATTTTGTTGTTAATGGGTATAACAAATTATTACTGTTATTATTATTTATTAAACCAGTCTTTGCTTAAAAACATTAAAAATCATTTTCCTAACCTACATCCAAAATAACAAGTATTATTGCAGTGTAAGAACAGAATATTAATAAAAAAAAATCCAAAATATATAGACATACTATCCCTAACTAACAAAAGCCAAACAATAATATTCTTTGCTAATATCAATTAATACCAATATATGGCAACAGCGCCCTTCATAATGAATTTTCTGTGTAAATACTAGCACCTCAATAAAAAAAATAATGTGTCCTTATCTTTATCTGACTCCGCAAAAAATCAAAGATGCCGGCTTCTTTCATAGCATTGCCACCGACCGCTGTCGGGTTTCTCGGAAAGAAACCTACGTCGCCGCGCGACAACTAAAATCCAGTTAATATTTTATTATAATCGATCCTGACGAATAAATGAATTTTATAAATGAATGGTTTTTGCTGCCGAATTACTTTAATACAATATTTCAAGGCAGATGACGCATCTATTCGATAATTTTTATTCGAATAGTTTTCAACGAATGTTTTCTTACTAGCTATCGAATTATTCGAATGAATGGCAACTATCGAATGCTCG